ATATATAGAGCGCAGCAAGGTTACGTTTAAATATTGTTTGACAATATTTCCGTATCGATAGAGCTGGTAGCTATATGGGTCTATATAGCGAGTACTTTGATAACTATAACACTATAACTGATTGCCTGTGAACATATTTATTATTATTATAATTTTCATACAAATATTTTAATACTTTTATATTTGATCAAACAATTTTTTTTTAATTAAAAAAAAAATGTGTTTTAAAATATCTCAAAAATATCTTCGGTACTACTACTAGATAATATTTTGAAATAAATTCTAAAAATATATTTATGAAAACCGAATTAAATATATATAACAATATTCCTTGATTCAACTTTTTCAGCAAATGTAATATAAAAATAAATTAAATGAATTATGAGATGATAACTCTTTAAATTTAAAATTTCAATTCTTGCAAAACTTGTATATATGTAGCTCAAACATTTTCTAAACTACTCCATAGTACACTCTTTAGGCACTTTTTTGAAAACTTTTCAGTATTTTCCCAGCATATTTCACCTTGATAACCCTGGATATACACATATGTTTTATCTTAAATGATACTTTTGAATTTGTCTGTGATCCAAGTGCAAGCACCGCCAGGCAAATCTAATAAAGAATTTTGTGCTCTGCACACACACTGTCAAGTCGACGGCTTGGAAATTGATGTCACTGACACACACACACACACACACACAATGCTGAATTGGAATTAGCTTTTGAAGACTCGACTCGACTTCCATTCGCTTTGAAGGCGAGGCACTCATCTACTCAACTGCTCAGCTACAACTTGGAGCAGATTTCCACAGATAATACAAATCCAGCGCTTAGCTTAGTTTAGTATGGCTACGCTTACGGTTACGATAATATCGTCGTCGTCGTGTTAAAGACGAACTACGCCTATATGGCAGCTATAAGTCGCTGATCTAATCTACAATTTGTGGTGTGAAACAATTTAAATCAGTGAAAAATCTGTGGCTGTGTCGCTAAAGTGCTAATTCCCTAATTTAAAAGTAAATTTATGCTCTCTATATACTATATAATCTATATAGTATGCGCATATATGGAGAGTGATATAGCATATACATTATGATTCAAGCACAACATAATCAAGATAAAGTTCAAGAGATAAGCAGCGCAAAAATTTAAATATGCTAAGTGAATTGTGGCGTCGACAATAAACACACAAGCGAACGAACATGCGAGCATCATATACGAATATATAGTGTATATACTATATATACATATGTATCTACCCATCTACATATGTACATTACATGCATTAAATAATAGAACACGTTGAGCACACCTACACACACACACACACACACACACACTCACACTCATGCGCGCTCGGCTCTTGAAAATCAAAATAATAATAGAAAGAATGAGCATGGGCATGGGAATGCAAAAAGTTGGACAGAGATAGCGAATGAGCGAGATAGAGCGTGAGCGACAGAGCGATAACAAGAGAAAGAGCTCAAAGCGACTAGCGCCTAGAACTCTACTAGATTATAGTTGTATGTAGTAAACATATCTGGAAAGTTTCGAAAACAAAATACAGCTGTTATCTGCGATGAGCTAAACATTAAATACCCTGGAATTTAGATATAATAAAACAAACCAGATCTTAAAAACAAAGATGAAAATAATAATAGAAGGAATGGGAATGCGAATAGAAAGACGGAGGAATGGAAAGTTTGAGAAAAATATAAGAGAACGTGAGAAAAAGACAGAGAGTGAGAGGGAGAGAGGGAAAGTGGAAGAGAAGAGCGGTATAAGAGATCGAGATAAGGGCTAATAATGGGAAAAGCGAATCTGATAGCAATATCAAGAGAGAGAGAGACAGAGAGGGAGGTAAGCGCCGAGAGAGCAATGGGCACAGAGCGGGTAATGGCGTAGATGATAGCGATATCAAGAGATAGAGAGAGAGAAAATGAGAAAGACAGAGAGAGTGGAAAGATGAAAATCCAAGAGAGAGGAATAATAGAGAGATAGGGACATAGGGGTCAGAGAAAGAGACACTGAGAGGGAGAGAGGAACAAAGGGAAAGACAAACAAAGAAAATTAAGAGGGAAAACAAAATTAGGAACAGATAGAGCCAAAGAGTCATAAACTGAGAAAGAAAAGAAAACAAATGAACAAAGATAAAGAGAGAGAAAGATATATTAAATGAAGTAAAAGGATTTCAATCATATATTGCAATAAAGTTTCTAGATATTTAAACTACTCGGATTACCTTACGTATCACTCGAGCAAATGTGACATAAAGCTCTAAGAGTTGCCCTTGAAAAAATGCAACTATATAAAACATATATAATTTAATATATACAGTTATAAAGATATTTTCAATTAAATGCTTCTTTATTTTCCAACAAATAAATGAACTTGCAAAAATGAAAGTAAACAAAAGTCTGTCGAATACTAAACTAAGCAAGCAAAATAATGATAAGAAATGACAAGAAAACAAAACTTATCAAGAGCATTATCACAGATGAAACTATGTATACGCATATCAAATAAGTGTGAGTGTGAGTGTGAGTGTGCGTGTGTGCTTACATACGATCAGCTACAACTCTTATCACTACTCTGCTACAGCTTCATCAATTTTGTTCTACAATTGTCATAGTTGGAGACTCGAGAAATTTATTTATCTTCATATCTTTCGCTCAGCAAAAATGATTGAAGATTCTGGCCAGAGGTGAAAACCCCAATAAAAGCTAATCTTTTAATAACAAGCAACGAACAAGCCGCCAGGCAGCTTGATAGACGCTGTGCCAACAAGACCCAGCCAAAGTGTCAACAAAGTGTGTTCGCTCAGTCGGATAGACAGCGAGTGTCGTGTCTCCTGGGCGCAGTCACAGAGAAGAACTTAAGTTAAGATCACACGTAATTTGGGCACAACATGCCATTCGATCCGCAAATGGTGATGCGTGCAGTTGCTCTACAGCATCAACGAAAGGCAGAGCGCAACGATTGCAGTTACTAAATCAAAAATACAAAAAATAAAATAATAATAATAAATATTATAAAATAAAATAAAAACCCCAAGTCAAGCCCAAGAGCAAGTCGGAGCTAATTGCTTGTGAAAGTTTTTTACTTTGACAATTAAGAATTATTGTGCATATCAATTATTGCGGCTCTGTGTTTGTGTGTGTGGGTGTGTGTGCCTCAGCCGGAAGAATCCAATGTGCTACTAAGAAAAACAGACATCAAAACTCAAAATCAAGACATACTAGAGTATTCCAAATAAAATGGTGCAAGGCGAGGCGGCCGTGGAGGCGCGTGTCACAGCTCGCAGCGATGAGCAGCCGGAGGAGACGACAGCGGCGGCAGCTGCCGCTCCCGAGGAGCTCCACAAGCTGCTCAACAATGGCAATGCCCACGAGACGACGGACAACAAGAGCAACAAAGGCGCCCAGGCACGCATCAAGGCCAAGTTAAAGCGCGAAAAATCCGAACAGGATCGCCTCATGACCGAGGAGATCAACAAGCTGCTCAACGATATGCCGCTGGAGAAGAATGTTACATGCGGCTTCTGGCTCTTTCGCGGCAATTTCTTTCAGCGGTAAGGCCGTGTTAGCCCCCAATCTGCATCGCAATCCTAATCGAGCACAAATAATTCCCAGCTTCGCTAATCAAACTGCCTACGTCCTGCTCTATGGCATCGTTGGCTGCATTTTCTCAATGACGTATGCGTACTTCAATGGCACCATAACCACGATTGAGAAACGCTTCAAGATACCCTCGAAGAACACGGGCATCATATCGGTGGGCAACGATATTAGCCAAACTTTGGTCTCCGCCGTGCTGGCCTAATATGCGGGCAAGGGTCATAGGCCACGCTGGATAGGATTTGGTAAGATCTACAATTAAGATCTAAAATGACATTTTCTACCTCATTCCTGACATTTCCCCAGGTCTATTGACTATCGTTCTATTCTGTCTGATGACCACCTCGCCGCATTTTCTTTACGGTCCGGGCGAGGATGCTCTGGCCCTGACCAAGGAGTTTGGGGCTCTACCCGACGAGAATGCCACCATGGAGGCCATTGAGGAGCAGCGATCGAAGACCTTGTGCCGCCTCTCTGGCGGTGGCGCCGAGTGCGAAGTGGGCGAGGGAAATTTCGCACCACAAGTTTTGCTGTTTGTCGCCCAGTTCATATCTGGCATCGGTGGCTCGCTCTACTACACTCTGGGCGTTTCCTACATGGATGATAATACCAAAAAATCCAAGACTCCAGCTTTGCTCAGTAAGTTGTTAAACGTATTTTTCAAAATAGTGACGTGAATAGTGCGCAGATCTTTTTTCTTATGGCTTTACGACTCCAATAAAAGAACGGGCGTCGTGTTGGTCTACGAGATAAGTGACGAGATTACTCCTCAGTAAACAGCCAGAAGTACTGCTTCCGTTTCTTATCACTCGTTTAGTTATGGCTCGAATGATAGGGCAAAATTAATTATCTTCTTGAGACTATTCAGGTTTTTTGATGAAAGACAAATACGTCATGATGTAAGGCATGAGAAAGCGTAAAAGAAGTTAGGGATATTCCCCTTGAACTGAATGAATGTAAATGAAAGATCATTTGGGATATTTAAAGAATATTTAAATACTGAAATGTTTTAAGCATTTCTAGACAGGAAAGAATTAGATCAATTGTACGGAGACTCTTTCTGCTACATTTATACTAGACTACTTTGAGGCGGTACTGAAATACTACAAACAAAAACGCAGAGCTTGTAGAAGAAAAGAAGATATTAAATTTCAATTTTGTTTACCCTTGGGATAGGTAAACTTTGCAAACAGCACAGGGAAAACAAATCAAAAATATATACCCCATTTGACCATCTGAAAAGAGACAGTCTAGGCACATATGTATATACCCCAATTGGACTTTCTAAAAAGAGTGTCAATACGCTTCTTAAAGACAGTCAAATCCAACACATGTATACCTCATTTGACGCTCTGAGCAGAGTATTCATATTTCACTCACCCATCTCAGTTTTATGATTGTGTTCTCTTGTCTTTTTTTGCAGGTCTCTCGTACTTTTTGCGCATGCTGGGTCCGGCTATTGGCTATGCTCTGGCATCCTTTTGTCTGCGCCTGTATATCGCACCGCAACTGCATCCGGTTATCAACAACAAGGATCCACGCTGGCTGGGCGCTTGGTGGTTGGGCTGGTTAGTCATGGGCGGTCTGTTATCATGCTCGGGCATCTTTTTGTCGATGTTTCCCAAGGAGCTGCCCCGTGCCGCCGCCAGACGCATGGTGGAGGAAAAGCGACGACGCGAACGTCATTCGCTCAAGCAAAAGGAGAGCACAGAGAAGGAGAAGCTGACAGCAGATCTGGAAGCGAGAGCTGAGCAATCGGCCGCAGAGCCAAAGGCTTCGTTCAACGACATGCTGGTCACGTTCCGGCGTCTGACCACCAACAAGACGTACATGTGCAACACGCTCTCGAACATCTTCTATCTGATTGGGTATACGCCGTTCTGGATATTTACGCCCAAGTACATCGAGGTGCAGTACAAACAGTCGGCAGCCACCTCCAGCATGGTCACGGGCACGGTGGCCCTGGCCTTTTCCGCCATAGGCGTACTGCTCTCCGGTTTCATCATATCCCGCTATAAGCCCAAGGCACGCTACATGGCCGCATGGAATGTGATTTGTGCCGTTCTGGTTGTCGCTGGCGTTGTGACCTATGCATTCATTGGTTGTCCGGATAACGAACGCTCGGTCATTGTGAATATTCACAATAGCGCCGTGAATGACAGTGTCACCTGCAATTCGGCCTGTTCCTGTGACTATGTCCGCTACTCTCCCGTCTGTGGCGAGAATAGCATGACCTATATATCCGCCTGCCATGCCGGCTGCAAGATGGAGCATGTACGTCCCGATGGCAAAAAGGTAGTTCGCATTCGGGTCTGACGATATATGTGTCTATAGTCTCTACTGTTTGTCTGTAGGTCTTCTATGACTGCTCCTGCATACCGGGCACAAGAAATAGCACCTTCAATCGCCTAACTCCACTGGATTTGGCCAATGAGGCGAACAGCAGAGGTCTAACGGGCACAGCACTGGAAAGCGCATTATCCATGGAGTACTTGGAGGTAAGTTTTGTAGAGTTGCTGAAGTATACTAAAGATGGATCTAGAGTACTTTTCTGTTCATTTTCGTATCTCCATAAATTCATTCCCTTATTTGCTCTCTCTTTCTCAGCAACTCGCCGCTGGTCAGGCCACGCCAGGCGCATGTCCTGTCAACTGTTGGACGCAGTTCGTCGCGTTTCTCTCAGTGATGTGCTTTCTGAAGTTCATTGGCGCTGCGGGCCGAGCATCCAATTTCCTAGTATCCGTTCGATGTGTGCCAGAGAAGGACAAAACGGCGGCCATGGGCTTTGGCATGATGCTATGCTCGATGTTTGCCTTTATACCGGGACCCATATTCTTTGGCTGGATCTTTGATCGCATGTGCCTGGTGTGGGGCAAAACGTGCACGAACAAGGGCAACTGTTGGCTCTACGATCCAGAGTCCATGAGGTGCGCTTTATACATACTATATGATTATTGATTGATCTATTAATAATCGCATTCGATTTAGATATACGCTCAACTTTACGGCAGCTGTTTTCATTAGCCTGGGCGCTATCTTCGACTTTGGTGTCTGGTATTATGTGAAAGATCTTAAGATATTCGACGAGGAGGTCAAGGAAGTCGAAATGCAAATAGTGCAGCACGAGGAGGAGGTCAATGCTGAAAAGAATACCGAAATATAAGTTACTAGAATAATTTATAAAAAAAAAAAAAAACAACAAGAAAATACAAACTAAACATATATATCTATATATATATATATATTTGTAAGATAATGTTATCTTTAAGCTAAAGATTGTGAGTGATTTTGGTGCCTATATATGCGAGATTTTAATGATGCGAGTCTGTCGGTATAATAAACTATTATGACGGTTAAGATCGTGTGATAAATGCAACCGTCAAGGCTCTCATTTCACTACACTAAGACATACGTACAGTGGTCACACGTTAAGATTAATCGTTAAGGAGTTCCAAAGAATTGTCTACGAAAATCAATAAATTTATTTAGTGTTAATGTAACATATTATCTATTTATATGCAAATTTTCGGTATTAATCGAGACATTGAAAAGTTTCTTTAGCGAGTAACTACTGTATTTATCGCCTTTACTTAAATAATCTACATAAAAGTCGGGCAGACAGTGCATAAAGCACATGTACAGAAGCCTAGACAACTTATCTTAAAATTACGTTTTCGCGTGGGATTACGTTAATTACAAGACTTTATAGCTATTATCTATATAGATATAGACAGTGGTTACATTTTGTGCATAATTATAGTTGCACTTTATGAGCTTTAGTAATTGCCAAAGTTCAGTTTGGCTCTGTAGTTCGACAATGGCAGATGAGGCGACTGAAGTGACTGAATTCCTGAAAGCTCCTAATGGTAAAAAAGATGCGAAACGGGAGCTATCCACCTCGGATACCCAATGTGGCTTTGGTATATTCAAAGGACCACGCATTCAACGGTATTTTCCTAAGGAAAACATTTCTCTTTTACGTTCTCAAGTAATTCCCATTGCAGCTGGGCCACGGAGCACATGTTTATGGTGCTGTTCGGCATCGCCGGCTGTTTTATAGGCATGGCATTTTCCTATTTCAATGGCACGATTACAACGCTGGAGAAACGCTATAAGATACCCACGAAGACATCGGGCATCATAACGGTGGGCAACGATATAAGCACGACGTTGAGCTGTGCATTCTTAGGGTACTACGCGGGTCGCGGTCATCGACCGAAATATGTTGCTCTAGGTAAGCCCATCTTTTTTTGTTTTTCTCTTTCTCCCAAGCCTCCTTTATCTCTCGTTTTTTTTCTCACTATTGATACACATTCTTCTCCATGATTTCCTTTTCTCTAATTCTCTTATATATCAAGGGCTTCTCATCTTGGCGATCTTCTGCCTGCTGATGGCATCTCCGCATTTCATTTACGGCGCTGGCGAGGATGCTATAAAGCTCACCCATGAATATATGAATACAAGTGTTCTCAATGCCACCCTGGAGGATCCCACACTCTGTCAATCCCGATTGCCCGACTGTGTGCAGACCGCAAGTCAATGGGCGCCCATAATTCTGTTGTTTGTGGCCCAATTTATATCTGGAATCGGGTGTTCACTCTTCTACACACTGGGCCTATCCTATATGGATGACAATTCAACCAAGTCCAAGTCACCGGCTATGCTTAGTAAGTTTCCGAATCTATTCCTCTTAAGCCTCTTAAGCCTCTCTTCATTGCTTTCACTCCCTCACAGGTTGGTCTGCTTTTCTGCGCATGTTGGGTCCAGCGTTTGGCTACTCCTTGGCATCCGTTTGTCTGCGTTTCTACATAGATCCGCAGCTAAAGCCGCTGATCAGCAATGAGGATTCACGTTGGCTGGGCGCCTGGTGGATCGGCTGGATCATATTGACCATCATAATGCTAATATCTGCCTTTTTTCTATACTTGTTTCCCAGAGAGCTGCCCAGTGCTCAGGCTCGACGATTGAAAGCAAATGGAGCCGACACTGGCGTTCACTCAGTGACAGAGTTATCCCTCGTTGACATGATGCAATCCGTCAAACGATTGGCCAAAAACAAGGTATATGTCTATAACAACATTGCCTCAATTCTCTATTTCTTCGGCTATACGCCGTATTGGATATTTACGCCCAAGTACATTGAGACCCAATATCAACAATCGGCTAGCACAGCCACCATGGCAACGGGTACAGTCGCTTTGGCCTTCTCGGCAGCCGGTGTCTTGCTCTCCGGCCATGTGATCTCCAAATACAAACCCAGCGCCCGGGCAATGGCCGCTTGGAATGGCATCGTTGATATATTTACGGTAATGGGCATCTTGTGCTATGTGCTCATCGGCTGTGCTGACAGCGATAAGACGACATCCATGTCGCCAAGCACGCCTGACAGCTGCACCGCCTCCTGTCACTGCGAGTATGTGCACTACGCGCCCATCTGCAGTCCAGATAATGTTACCTATATATCTGCCTGTCATGCCGGCTGCAACAGTAAACTGAAGGATGAACTGGGTCGACTCATCTACACAGGCTGTAAGTGCATTGGCACATTGGATATCGCAAATGTTACAGAGGTAAGTCTACTAGTATTCATTTGGCATACGCTTTGATATACTTAGATATAAGTAGATGTAACACTAGACTTATTCTAACTTACTTCCTATTTTATAATTTAAATTGCTTTCTCCAACCTTAAAAGTACAATCTTAACTTTCACTTGTCTTCACATTCCACATTTCCAATAAATCTTATTATCTTTCCTCTGCTCCCTCCCTTAGTACCAATCAGCACGACAAGGACCCTGCCCGGTGGACTGTTATAAACAGTTTCTCATCTTCCTAGGCGTCATGTGTTTTCTGAAATTCATTGGCGCCTCCGGTAGAACAGCTAACCTATTGTTGGCCTTGCGCTGCGTGTCATCTGAGGACAAGAGCTTTGCCCTGGGCCTGGGCAATGTAGTCGCCTCCATAGTCAGCTTTATACCCAGTCCCATTCTATTTGGCTGGATTTTGGATAGCTATTGCGTGGTCTGGGGCAAAACGTGCGGCAGCAAAGGCAATTGCTGGCTCTATGATACCAAATCCTTACGGTAAGTACAAAAACTATTTAGTCATGATTGCAGCTGCATAAACCCCGTCTTCTATGTAGCTATACCATAAATCTTTTGGCTGCTTCATTCATATTTGCTGGCAGTTTTTGGAACATTGGCGTCTGGTATCATGCCAAAGATTTACAGATATTCGACACTGAGCCAGAAGAGCCAAAGCACAAAAAGAACTCACAACAATATGAATTAAACGAATTATCAGCTAGCGAAGTAAAATAAAAATAATATTTGATATCTAAATATTAAAAAGCTTAAGCAAATATTAAAGTCGGAGGTTAGCCGAGTGATTTGCGATTTTTTGGCTTATTAAATTTGTCCGAGATAAACAGAGTAGCACGCGAGTTTCAAAAAGGTGTTAAGGGGTGACTTTTATAATCCATGCAGTGAACCACCTAATATATTATGTAATCATAGCTGTTATCTATCTAGAACAGTACGAGGTTATATGCAGTATAAGACTTATGTGTATATTAATTTAATAAGTCCAGTCAATGCAACAATAAACCCATTCCATCCATCTGTCTGTTTGTGTATGCCTCTGGCAGTCTAGCTCACTGTTTATCAATCTCGCTATCTCTGTCCATCTGTCCTTCCATCTCCATTAATCCACATCAGTCTTCCCATCACTGTCAGTCCATCTCTTTGTTGCCCATCACTCAGTCTCTCCACTATCTATCCCTCTATCTATTCGCCCAATATATTCCTGAACCTCTATTCTATCCAACATTCACCTCTCTAAGTCTTCTTCTTCTTCTTTCCATCTGTTAAGGAGTTCGAATCTTTCTCCGATTTTCCCGATCTCTGTTTTTCTATTTAAATCCTTACATAGCTTACTGAGTACAGTTTAAATACAAAATATCTACACACTTTTTACTATGAATGTCAAACGTTAAATATCGTATAGCTATTTATATAAACCCGTTTACCACCCAGAAATTATCTACCTAAAACAAAAAAAGCATCTCATCTCTCATGAAAGTTGTTGGCTCATCCTCTCAAAAATTTGATATCTCGCGTGAATACAAATGATAATGTCATTATTATATTATACTATATGTTCGTTGACTTAACGGGGTATATACACAAGATATGGCAAAAGTTTTACTGTTGTTAAAACAATAATTGCTAGTTGATCTTTATGGATGCACAATTTGTCAACTGTTGGCCTAGATATAATGGTCTGGCAATAGTTAGCAATTAGTCGGGCTACAAGTTTTGATGGAGTCGGTTCAACAATGAGTCTCGAAACGAAACCAGATCAAGCAGAGGAGGATCCTTTTCTCGAGAATGCTAAGCAGAACAATGGCAAACCACGGAAGGAAAAACCGCACAAGGATATCAGATGTGGATTTTGGATATTCAAAGGATCGCTGCTACAGCGGTATGCTGGCTATGGATAGGCTAAGCTAGGCTAGCTGTAAACTGAAGATTTACTTAATTTACAGCATGGCAACGGAAAAGTCTTTTGTCTTAATCTATGGCATCGGTGGCTGTCTCTTATCCATGGCCTTGGCCTATTTCAATGCCATTGTGACGACATTGGAGAAACGCTATAAGATCCCGACAAAGACATCTGGCCTCATTATCGTTGGTAACGATGTCAGCATGATGATCACATCTGTGCTGGCTGGCTACTACATACACAAGGGACACCGTGCACGCTGGATAGCATTAGGTGAGTAGGACACCAACTGAACCCATTGATAGTCATTCATTTTCGTATCCTTGACCTTTCAGGATTCTTCACGATATTCATTTTCAGCGTGCTCACTTGCTCCTTGCACTTTGCCTATGGCTCTGGCGAGGATGCGCTAAAGCTCACACGTGAATTTGGGGATTTCGAAACGGTTGCTGAATACACGGCAATTGCACACAAGGAGCACAAACTATGCATGTCCGAGGAATCGGGATGTCAACAGAGCGATGGCACTTGGGTGCCGCCGATTGTTTTGTTCGTGGGCCAGTTTATTGCAGGCATTGGCATATCCTTGTTCTGGATTGTGGGCGTCGCTTATATGGATGACAATACAGAGAAGGCGAATACGCCAGCGTTGTTAAGTGAGTTAAGAGATAAGATAAGAGACCTGTCATATATCTTACTGGAGATTATTTAACAAACACATTCATTCCTCTCGCATCTTTCAGGCATCTCTGCTTTTCTCCGCATGCTGGGCCCAGCCCTTGGTTACTCCTTGGCCTCTGTCTGTCTGCGCTGGTATATTGAGCCGCATTTGGAGCCGCTGATCAAGCCCGGGGATCCTCGTTGGCTGGGCGCCTGGTGGATTGGATGGCTCGTTCTAGCTGTCGTCACATTTATAGTCTCCTTCCTGATGTTTATGTTTCCCAAGGAGCTGCCCAGTTCGAATGCACGGCGCATTCAACTAGAGGAAGCTGGCATCCAGAATCCCAAGCAGCACAAGGATCTCTCCATGACCGACATGATACGTTCCATCAAACGCCTGATGGTCAACAAGGTGTTCATGTACAACTCCTTCGCCTCCAGTTTCTACTTCTTTGGCTACTTGGCCTACTGGATCTATACGCCCAAGTACATTGAGACCCAATATAGAACCTCCGCATCCATGGCCAGCATGGCGACGGGCACTATAGCTCTGGCTTTCTCTGCGGCGGGCGTGCTGCTCTCTGGCTTCGTTGTGTCCAAGTACAAGCCCAGTGGCAAGGCCATGGCTGCCTGGAATGGCTTCGTGGACTTCATGACTGTCGCAGGCGTCTTGTGCTATGTTGTGATTGGCTGCAAAGGCAGCGACAATATGAGCTCCATGGCAACAGTCAGTGGCAGCTGCGGCGTCTCCTGTCACTGCGAGTATGTGCACTACGCACCCATCTGCAGCCCCGACAATGTCACCTACATATCCGCCTGCCATGCCGGCTGCACGGGCACGGCCAAGGATCAATTCGACCGCACCTTGTACACAGGCTGTGAGTGCATTGACCCAAAGAATACAACAGCTGGAGTTGAGGTAAATTCTTTGATTAGATTATTGGAGCTGATCTACGATAATAATACTCTAAATTTGTATTCGCAGTTGCAGTATGCAGTGGATGGCGCCTGTCCCGTGGACTGCACCCAACAGTTCCTCGTCTTCCTCGTTGTGATGTGCTTACTCAAGCTCGTCGGTGCCAGCAGCAAGTCCACAAATCTGCTGATAGCCCTGCGCTGTATACAGCCGGAGGACAAGAGCTTTGCCCTGGGGCTGAGCGGCTTGATCAGTTCTCTGTTCGCCTTTGTGCCCAGTCCCGTCTTCTTTGGCTGGCTGCTGGACAAATATTGCCTGGTGTGGGGCAAGACGTGCAGCAACAAAGGCAACTGCTGGCTCTACGACACCGAGTCCTTAAGGTAAGCTGATGTGTTGCTCATCCCATTTGTAGCTTACTTCAATTTATTTCAATTTTCACTTCAGATACGCCTTCAACTTGACGGCAGCGTTCTTCATATTCCTCGGCGGCCTTTTGAATATTGGCGTTTACCGCAATGCCTCAGATTTGCTTATATTCGATGAGGAGCCAAATGAAGCGGATCAAGCAGATAGTAAAGTCGATAGCTTTAGCTTGGAAAGCAAAGTCCAAGAGACGGAAGCAACAAGAGATGTAGAAAAGTCTTAGAAATAATTTAATATTAACTCTGTGAGTCACTAAAACAAATTATGTTAAATTTATAGAAAAGATTAATATTAAAAATAAAGTATACTAAAATTGAATTCATAATTAGTTTGTGCAATAGTTAGGAAAATGAAAAAAGGGAAAAATTCAATGTAGGAATTGTACAGACATATAGCCTGTCTCTCTGGAAGGGATGAAGAAGAACTACAGAATATCATTTAGGCTGTCTATATGTGATCATTTGATATTTATACTCGAGTAAAGCGAAGCTAGAATGCAGAGAAGCAGCCGAGAGAGCTCCCATTGGTGAGTTCAAGCTCGGCTGCACGATCTCTACCTGTCGTCGGTCTCAACTCAATGTGAGCGCATAGGCTCTGAGTGTAAGACGACCTATATAAAGGGCAGCAGCTGCAGCATTTCTTCAGTCGCCCAGGCCCGGTGGGGGTCAGTCGTGCAGTGCAGTAAAGTGAAGTGAAGTGGTGTGGGATGCCTCAGCAACGCATTAAGGACTTGGAGGAAATACTTGGAAGAAATACTCAGAGGAAATACTTAGAGGATAGGCTAAGAGGAAATACTAAGAGAAAATACTGAGAGGAAATACTTAGAGAAAATACTTGAAGGAAATACTTAGAGGATATTCCATTAAGCCCCGATTTCCCGTTTTTAACACATTACTAGCATAACAACAGGATTCAGAGTCCAAGAATTAAATAGGTTTGAAAGTTTGACGAGTGCGAAGGGAACGTATGATCATTTGCGGCGATTTGCTCGAGTTTGAAAGCAGTTTTAGTCTGTCATTGCCATTCCAACAATCTAAAAATAAAAGCAAATATTTATTAGATTACTTTTATATTAGTGGCTCAACTAAATGATAACTCATAACTCAGTGTGTGTGTGTCTGAGGTAAACAAAAAGAGATAAGCAAAATATATCAGAGCTACTTAAAAAGAGCCAAAGAATCAAAGCGCTTGACAAGTAGCCTTAAATACAGTTCATTAATGGAATTGATGAAATTATATTTTGACATGGGTTTAACAGACGCACGAAATACATATAGATATATTTGTTCAATTCGCTTAGAATGTTTGTTTATATGCTGCCTCTGTTACACAATATATGTATATGATCTTATCTCGAGTCAGCTTAGTTAGGCTGCAAGATTCATAAATTGCATCTGCGTAATCAGAAAGGCCGTTTTTATTGATGCCCAGAGATAATGCAAATCTCATTTGAATTGATAACTAAGAGAAAATCCAGATCAGTTCCACAGAGCGCTTGAATGGAGAGAGTTCAGCAAGATGAGCGTCGATACAAAGGATCCAAGTGAAGTGGCTCCATTTCTAAATGATGCTAGCACGCTAACGGCCATTGATGAGAAGGAGCAGCAGTTAAAGGATGCCCAGCGGGAGCAGGAGCTAAGCGAAAATCTAGATGATGGCAAGGATATAACCTGCGGCTTTTGGATATTCAAAGGACCTACGCTGCAGAGGTAGAGCCAAGTGAATGTTTACCCAAGGAAGTATTTATATATATAGAAATATTTCGCAGTTTCGCCACAGAGACAATGTATGTGACCATCTATGGCATCGCTGGCTGTTTCATGGCCATGTGCTTTGCCTACTTCAATGGCACAATTACCACACTGGAGAAGCGCTACAAGATACCCACAAAGACGTTGGGCATCATTTCGGTGGGCAACGATATGAGCACCATGTTTGCCTCGGCCTTGACTGGCTATTATCTGCGCAAAGTGCATCGACCGCGCTGGATGGGTTTGGGTAAATATACATATATATACATATATATACATATATATACATATAATATACATATATAATAAAAAAATTATGTAAAGAACTTTTCAACTTAGAGTAAATCGCACTTTCAGGTCTATTTACAATCGTCATATTTTGTTTGCTAAACTGCTCGCTGCACTTTATCTATGGCGCTGGCGAGGATGCCTTGAAACTAACGCGTGATCATGGAGCTTATCAGAACTTGAGTGGACATTTAACCAGTTCACAGAGAGATCAGAAGCTGTGCATGAATGAGACATCGAGTTGCATACAGGAGGACAGTACTTGGGTGCCCCAAATGATTCTCTTTCTAGCTCAATTCATTTTGGGCATTGGTCAGGCGCTATTTCTAGTCGTGGGCCTAGCCTACATGGACGACAACACCACCAAGTCCAAGACGCCAGCAATGCTTAGTAAATCCGAAACGGAATTTTTAGCTAATTTGCATTAATTTACTATCTGACTCACTTTCTAGGCTTCTCCACTTTTCTACGCATGCTGGGTCCTGCCATAGGCTACTCCTTGGCCTCGCTTTGCCTGCGCTGGTATATAGAGCCGACAGCGGAGCCATTGATCAAGCCCGAAGATCCTCGTTGGCTGGGCGCCTGGTGGCTCGGCTGGCTCATCTTGGCCGCCATGACAGCCCTTATTGCCTTTGTTATGACACTATTTCCCAAGGAGCTGCCCAGCTCGAAGGCTAGACGCTTGAAATACCGAAAGGCTGGCGAACCAAATACAACTGTGGAAATGGACTTTTCACTGGGCTACATGTGGCACTCGATCAAGCAGCTGGCAACCAACAAGGTCTATGTATACAATACGATTGCCTCCATACTCTACTTCTTTGGCTACATGGTCTACTGGATATTTACGCCCAAGTACATTGAGACCCAATATCAGCAATCGGCCTCGATGGCCACCATGGCCACGGGTACCGTTGCTCTGGGCTTCTCTGCGGCGGGCGTACTGCTCTCCGGGTTTGTAGTGTCCAAGTACAAGCCCAGTGCCAGAGCCTTGGCTGCCTGGAATGCTACGGTGGACTTTTTGACAGTGGCTGGCATCTTGGGCTTTGTTGCCATTGGCTGCAAAGGCAGCGATGAGCTGAGTTCCATGGCCACAGTGGGTGATGGCTGCAGCGTCTCCTGTCACTGTGAATATGTGCACTACGCGCCCATCTGCAGTCCCGATAATGTCACCTATATATCTGCCTGCCATGCTGGTTGCACGGCCAAAACAAAGGATCAACTGGAGCGCACTCTATACACGGGCTGTGACTGCATTAATCCAAGTAATTTAACAACTGGAGTTGAAGTAAATAGGAAATTAATTCGATTATTTGCATCTGATCTACAAACTCACTTTATACTCACAGTTGCAGTATGCAGTGGATGGCGCCTGTCATGTGGACTGCTTCAATCAGTTTCTCCTTTTCTTGGGCGTCATGTGTTTCCTGAAGCTCGTCGGCGCCAGCAGCAAGTCAACGAATCTGCTCATAGCATTGCGCTGCATACCGCCGGAGGACAAGAGCTTTGCCTTGGGCTTGGGCAGCATGGTGGCTTCGCTGTTCGGCTTCATACCCAGTCCCATTTTCTATGGCTGGCTGATAGATAAATATTGCTTGGTGTGGGGCAAAACGTGCAGCAACAAAGGCAACTGCTGGCTCTACGACACAGTATCCTTGAGGTGGGTGCAGGCTGCTGCCTTCCTTAACATATTTGCCATATCAATCTTCATTTTAATCTACTTTCAGATATGCCTTAAATCTGGCGGCTGGCACTTGCATATTGCTTGGCGGTTTTATGAACATTGTGGTCTGGTATCATGCTAAGAATCTCAAAATCTTTGACGACGAGAAAGCCAAGAGCCTGGAGGATATCACACTAAAAGACTTGGGCAGCACGCTGCAGCTGCAAAAGCTTGATGAGAATATCTAAAAATATCTAATATGTACTGTTATCTGACGTCATTTGCCACAATAAAGATTCCCAGATTATATCCAGTCTGGCGCTTATCTTCAAAGACATATAAGCTTGACAGTTATATGGATTGTTTGCAGCTCTCTATTTACGAGTGAGGGTCGAGGGATAAGCGTCTACTATAAGTCAGTTCAATAAGGGCAGCCACTCGTCGGGCAGTGGGGGCTCTAGAATGGCCGTCGTATTGTTCTCCTCGATTTCATTGGCATCGCACAGACACCACAAGGCATCGAAGAGCAGCAATTGGAGCAAACCTGCGCCAGCTGTGCACTCGTCAAATGTTATTGGCGGTAAATCATTTTGAGCCTGAGCGCTATAGACATTTAATCTCTCGTTACTCAAGCGAGCCAAGCATACGGCCTGACCTTTATGCTCTTCTATTTTCCACATGGCTAACAGAACATCAGGCAATGGTTTTATGTACTCCTTTAACAAAGCAGCTGCAGTAACATTTTGTGTGTAGTTTTCTTGAATTCGTTCCAGTTGTTGCTTGTAGTTGTTTTCCGTAAATCTCTCATGTTGCAGCTGGTATAAGCAACGCGCAGACTTGGCACAAAAATTATTTTCCAATATATTGTGAACTTGGCAACTATCCAAGACAATCGGTGGCAACTTTTTCCTAGTCACTCTTCTAAGCTCTTGCAGTGCTTGCAGAATCACTTGCTGTTTGGGCGCGACAATAGCCACATAATTCTCTAAGCCATTATCTTCGATTTCCAGCATGATATTTGATAGAGCTTTGCCCATTTCATCATTTCGAATAAGCTGCAATATTTAGTACGAATGTCTAAAATATAAATTATTTAGATACGACATTGGCTTACCGGCATTCTCAGGCGATCCACAGTCAAGTTCTTATCCCTCAGCATGGCCAAGCTTCGCGCATAGCACAGACGCTGCTCCTCGGCATTGGTACGCGTTACAAAGACAACAAACATCTACAAAACGTGTTCAGTTGCTCATAAATATATTCAAGCTATTGTTCACTTATGTACCTTATGCACATACGGTTCCTTACGCACCCAAAACTCATTTAAGTTCAGGGTATATGTCTTACTTCGGTCAATGCGATGCAGCACGCCGGGATGATAGTACTCCAAGCCCATATTATCATATGTTTTATGTACGCGTCGCAAGCGCCATTGCACCTTCTTTGAATACGCCGTGTACTCATCATCTGTCATGCACTCAATACTGGCAAAATCATCCGGTTGGACACAAACGCCAAATTTGGAAATTGGTGGCCGGCCGGGTCGCACATAGCCTTGGGCCTGGGCCTCGGCTCTCTCGTGCCGTGCTGCCACGAGGCGCTCGACTAGCTCTTGCTTTGAGCCCTTTGTATTTAAGGCACGACCATATAGGTCACGTACCAAATCTCGTATATTAAGCTCGGAAACTGGCAGCTCCATCGCACAATTTGCACGCCAAATATTTACCGCAATCAAATGCTGAAGCGCGAAATTTAGAGATGAGTCGATATAAGGCAGCGCTGTAAATTGTCCACTAAGCAGTGCTGCAAAATGTTGGTTTATGAAACATCTAGTAATCGATGTATCGATACGATACAAACAGACATTTGAATTTAGCTTTCATCTCAGTTACTTTGTATCTTTGTATATTTGTTATTCGATCTAAAATAAGGTTCCAAATTAAAACACCTTAATGGAATAGGGAAAATCACAAACTTTCAATGGAAGAGAGTAGTTGCGACAAATGGAGAGACAGAAACAAGGTAAAACCACCACCTAGACCGAGCTGCTTTCAGCCACTGGAAGGAAATTGTCCAGAATGCAAACCTCCCGAAGAAACTCCACCACAGGAGCCACCAACTGGGAAAGAGGAAAACGTTGTAAAAGACGAAAACATTGTGAAAGACGAAAACATTGTGAAAGCAATTCTCAAGCCAGAGCCTCCAACAAGACGTGTTATAGATCCAAGCCGTCTATGTGCGTCATCTCTCACTCGCAAACGAGAAAAATGCTGCAATCTAAGTGAGGCCGGAGAAGCTGAACATAAAGATAATTTCTGTTCAGCAAAATGCAGCCCACTGAAACCAGCGATGCTTCACTTGGAAGAGGTACATATGTTTTTGTAGGCATTTCCTTTCTATATGTTAAATTTCCGAAATTTGTCTTCAATAGTGGACGAAGCGTCCTCGGCCGAAACCTACTTATAAGAATTGTGTTTACCTCAATAATGAACTTTTGGCTGGACGTGCATTTCCTATGAAGTTTCGGATACGTCGAAATGTGCGCAATTGTGGTGTATGTGGTAGGGCAATGTATTTACGTGACTCAATTACGGATAGTTCAAATATAATCTTGATTTCGAACTGCTGCGACGTCCAGGTGTATCCAAGTTCGTATATTGAAAATTGGCATCGTGTACCCATTCTATCAATAACACGCAAAGAATCTATGCATAAGAAAGTAATTAACGAAATCTGTGTACTTGAACCCAAAAAACTTCCACCGCCACCACCTCCACCTCCACCACCACCGCCGCCACCTCCATCCACAAAGAAAAAGCCAAAGAAAGGAAAGAAATAAATTTGCGAAATTCCTTTTATATAATATGTGTCAAAATAAGCGCCATCGACTAAATAACAAATATATTTCGACTTTTATAATTATTCGATTATCTCAGATCGATTGACTGTTAATCGATGAGTATTCTTGTCATCGTCACATAGCGAATAACGTATTTTTAAGCACCGTAAATGAAATGCAGTGGATTATTTCTAGTTTTTCAATTTGCATTTAATTAATTTAAATTCAGTCGCATAAGCATACTTAGCGTTAACCTAATAACTAAAATGTATAATTCAGCTTAATATGAAAAACAGCGCTGCCAATTCACAATATGTGTACGTAGAAAAAGGGGGAACTTAACACTTGATGATCGAAAAGTTTTCCTTGTATAATTTCTTGATTTTAGATTTCGTTATCGAGAATGTGTTGGTGTGTGTGTGTGAGTGTGTATATGTATGCTTTTTATAATTACAGTTACAAATACTTGAATATTATTAATATTGTTGTTGTTGTTGTTGTTGCTACAATACGTAAATACGACTTAGAGCTAATTCATGATTTTAATTCCTGCAATTCTCTCACAAAATGTTCATTGTTAATTGTTGTTGTTGGAGTTTTGCTGGCGTTATTAAAGATTACAATTTGTTTTTGGAAAACTATGGATAGCACTCGCTAATTTGTTGTTTGCGCAAGGCGTTGTATTGCAGTTGAATCGAGTTTTGAGTGACATCGAAGTTCACAACTATATATATACATGTGTATATATATATATATATTAAACATACTTTAGATTATAGCTACATATGCACTTGAAATATTTATTTAAAAATTAGCTACAAATTGTTAGACTACATTATATGTATATGCACATATATAATATAGTTATAATATAAGCGTCTACTTATACTGTCGAGTGGCGAGTCACTAAATTTTTAAAATGAAAATCTTCTCTTTCTTGTGCTAATGCGGAGGGAAAGGGATTCGGATGGGAATGAGGATGGGACATTGTGAATGAGTGAAAGCCTATGTTTTTACAATCACGGGAAAAAAGTCTTTGAGTAGTGTGGTGCGACGCTTTTCTGCTATATCCATTTGATTCTCGAGCACAGCACGATCCGTTGTCTCTGCTCGCTCGATTTTCCATGACAGATTCTCAATTTCAGCCTCCAGCTGCGCCTGCGAAAATTTAAATTATATTAATTAGAATTATAAGTAAAAATATATATAATATTAACTAAGCTAACCATACTTAAAGGATCAACCATATAAACTGATTTTTGAATTGCCTCTCACCTGCTGGTATTCGAACAGATTTTTGCGGGATCCCGGTTCCATATAGTAGGCATATGGATACGTATATTGCAGGGTATATCGACATTTGGCTAGCAGCGCGGCTGCATTGAATAGGTATTGCCAATCGATCCAGGTGCCGCTGCCATTCATCACCTTCGTATTGATACGCTGACGCAGTCGATCGATTGTCTGTTGCTCGAGCTTGAGAGACTTGGAATGGTTCTCCCAGCGCTCGTAGTAATGCAAATACTTTTTGAGTGCCTCGCGCGCCTGCACATGAACCGATTCGTTGGCTATATTGGGATTATCCTTGTAGCGCGAGCATTCGTAATACTCTGAGCCGTGCGTCTTCCAATCCCCCAGGCACATCCAGCAGAAGTCGTGCTTGCAGTTGAAGCACTGCATGTGATTGCAGCCGCCGTTCTTCTCGATGCAGATGTGACACTTGGGACAGTCTTTGGTATGGGCGCTAATGTAGTTGGCTGTTTCGCTATCATCGGCGCACTTTGTCAGCCACTTCCTGATGATCTGACAGTCTGTGGGCGCATGGTAGTCCATGCCGCACTTGAAGCAGAAGCCCGTATGGCACACCTTGCAGATGGCACGCTTCGCACAGATCTCCGACGATTGCACAATGATTTGGCAATTGGGGCCGGGACAGAAACGCAGCTGCGGATGCGATTTTACGTAGTCCTTGAAAGCAAACTGCTGGTACTTGTCCCGCATTACTGGCCGTGTGACCAGAGTCAGTACCAAATCTTCGGGCACCCGGACATTACACTGCTGGGCCATGCAGCCAATCTGAATGGAGATGCCCTGAAAGATTTGTGTCTCAAAGTAAATGGTCCAGCAATCCTTGCAAAACGAGTGTCCACACGCCAAGCTATAGAACTTGTCATTCGGCTGCGTGCTCGCACACACCGGACACATTCGTCGCTGTGGCTGTGACTGTTGCTGTTGCTGAGGATTGCCGCTGGCAGCTGTTGTTAGCGATGATGTCGATGCTGATGATGATGTCCTGTAGCCGCTGCTGCTGCTCAAGCGCAGTTGGGCAGCCGCAGCAGCACTCGTCGAGGCCGTCTCCACGGCTGTGGTGGGTGGCTTGATTCTCGCCGACACGAGCAGTGCATTCGCATCCTGCCGATACTTCTCCACCACAGCCGCATTGTTCCACTGGTGCTCGAGCAGCAGCACCTTGGCCAATGAAGGCGTTATTTGTAGTATTGTGTTCAATTTCTCCACCAGCTCATTCAGTAGCTTCTCAATGTCCTCGACGGTTAGGCACTCGTATTCGAAATACTCGGGATCGGCGCGCTTCGGGTCAAGTCTCTCGACATCGCAGTCTTCGCCTAAAAGTAGACAATAGTTATTGATCAAGTTAACAACATAGTCAGAAATATTTCTTGCAGGGTATTTTAAAGTAGCGGAAAGAAAGGATCGATTTGACCTATTCATTCTTTTGATTTGGATTATAGGGTATTTTTTGTCTATATGACAAAGTTTACATGATAGTCCTTCACCTTAATTTTCTGTCTCTGCTATTTGGACTCGGGTTTTCCACGTAATCTACCAAAGGACTAACCAGGTGCAATCCCCAAGTGATTCATTTTCCTTTTCTACCTGCTCAATTCACATGTTTACAGTGGAACAAAATAGCAAACAAAAACAAACAAAAAATCCAATTCATGACGATGTATAATAGAATTGATTGCCATTTTAACGACGGCTTAGAAAAAGGGAAGACAAAAAAAAATTGAAGGCCGAATATTACGTCGTTGGCTTACAAATGAGATTTACCTATGACGTCACAGCCAGCTCAGAGTGTAGGCGTGTGTGTGTGATTGGGTGGGAAAGATAGTCAGAGACAGAGAGATGAAGCAGCAGCTGAAAGGCAGGTCAAAAGCAGCTAAAATTGTTGACGGAAGAAACTGCACGACGCGTCGCGACGTCAGACAGCGAACACTTGAGCACGCATCTCGCTGCGGAGAGGGAGAGCAGCAGCAGAAGCAGCAACAACAGTAACAATATCAACAGCAGGTAAAAGAGATGCCAGTAGAAAGAACACTAAGTAAAGGTGGCAATAATGCAGATAATAAACAGTATATAAAACCAAAATTGAGCAAGACGACTAACAGATACCCTGTATACACACTTAAAAAGCACTAAAACTTGCATACCATGTACGATTCAAATCTTGTTATCGATAACTTTATATGCAGCTGATCTGATGCACATTAGAGATTGTAATGAGGAAATTACAGGACTGCTAGTTTGAGCTTAGCATAGATGCAATATACCATTGATTCCATAAGTATAAGGTATAATTAGTAACAACAGAGACCACTGGCCCCGTATTTTTTGGCGTTGGCCAAGCTTGACGTACATACGTACGACCATTTCAAGTTCAATTTCAATTTCATAATTTAAGTTTCATGGTCAGAAAGCAAACGTAACGAACCGAGCACAACAAGAAATATTAAACACAATCAAATTATATTGTAAACGAGCGAAGAAGCCGCAACGGGCGAACAAAAAACAACTAATAGGGGAAAAAGAGTTCAAGTGTAAAAGGCAGAGAACAGGGCAGGTAAAGGCGAATGTCAAGAGCCAAGCAACGTGCATGCGATTTTATGGAAGGTTAAATGCAAAATGCTAGGCACGACATATGATTGTGTATGTGTATGTGCGCCTGTGTGTGTGTTTGAGTTAAAGGTGAATAACCAAAGCAAAACGTATGCAAATAGTACACACACACACACAATGATATGAAGTAGTGACCATGTCCAATAAGAATATTAAAAGGCTCTAATTGTGTTTGTGTGCTTCAAATCGATTGCGTGTGTGTAATCGATAAACTGCACAAAGCGTCCTTGGACTCTGGTTCTCTTTCTGCCCCCCCACGTCCTCTTAACTTACCTGTATTATAGTAATCATAATCGTCGTCAAATTCCCCATCGTTGTCCGACTCCATTTCCATTTCAATGTCCGAGTCCATTGCAACTCTGTCTGAAGGTGGCAGTTGCTGAGGCAGAGGAAGGAGGCGTGGCAGCAGCCTTGCCTTTGCGTGTGTGTGTTTGTGCGTTTCTCGCTTGGTTGCTCGTTTGTCCGTTGCCTTGCCTGACGACGACGATTGAAGGGCGAGTAAAGCAAAATCGTAAAAATACTTCTTTACAAGGCTACTACACGAACGAGGGGGTTGGCGGGGTTTTCTTTTGTTGTTGTTGTTATTGTTGTTGCTGCTGCTATATTTGTAACAGTTGCTATTGTTGGTGGTGGCGTTGCTGCTGCTGGTGGTAGTGGTGGTGGAAGATTTAGTTATTGTTGTTGTTGTTGGTGCCGTGGGGTACGTTGCAATTGTTGTAACGTCGCTGTCGCACTCCCCATTTACATCATTGCCTGGAAGAACTTTAGCCTAGCGGGGTGGCAACGTTTGGCAGCGGCCAATAGATCCCGTTTTATTTTCGTTTCTCACACACACATATTCACGCGCAAGCACACACATGTAGAGCCGTTGGTGCTGCTACTGCTGGTGCATTCAATGCCGTGCATTCGATTTTGTTTTTTTTTTTTTATATATATATATATTATAAATAGACACTAACGACGCACTCAGGTTAATTCTTTCTCGCTTAGCTGTTGTATTCTGTGCAAAGCTACGCAATCAGAATGCAATTATTTTTACTAGCAGCATTCAATTCCTTTGTCTTTTGATTTTTCGCAGCGCCTGCCTGCCTTTGCACTCGCACTCGCGCACTAGCTGCGTTGCTCGCCCCTCTCTCTCTTTCACTCTTTCTGTGATTACCCCCTGCTCTCATCAATACACTCACTCACACTGAGCAACACCCACACGACGCTGCAGGCACACACACGGTCACTAGCACGAGAACGAGTACATTCCACAGTTTACGTGAAAAGCAAATGCACTTTTATTTAATAGCTATTGCACTTGCTACGTTTATTAATAATAACTTATAAGAACGGCGAAAAACGCTCTGAGACGCAGAACTACAAGTGACGCAGTGTTACCAAAACCAATATACTAAAAATATGGTGAACAGCTGTTTGTGGTGGTTGTCCGATTATACCATTTTCATAGCGCATTTTTGCGTTTATATTGAACGGCTCTATTTACTGATAAGTTATCGGAGTAAATCGAAGTCCCTAGTTATCGCTTCAAGGTTGCCGGCAAAATTGCGCTGCTTGATATTGTGAAATCATTTGAAAGTGTGGAAAAAATAAGATGTCGACCATTGAGAAGCTCTCTATTCAAGGTGTACGCAGCTTTGGCGTTAATGCTGAAGATATGCAAGTAAGTTTTAAATGACGGCTTCCCATAACACCTGTTGCTAATCCTGTCCTATTAGAGTATCACCTTCTCGTCGCCTATTACGCTGATTCTGGGTCAAAACGGTTGTGGCAAGACAACAATTATTGAATGCCTAAAATATGCCCTCACTGGCGAGTATCCGCCCGGCAGCAGCAGCGGAAAGAACTTCGTGCACGATCCCAATATATTTGACAAAAATGAGTCGTTGGCCCAGGTGAAAATGCTAGTGCGGGACCGTCGGAATGTCCAGATGTCCATTTGCCGCAGCATGAAGGTTACCAAAGTTAGGAACGGTCTTACCTTTAAGACTATAGATTCGACGATAAATTTTCTGGGCAGCGATGGGAAGCCGTCAAAGAACAGCCAAGAGTCGATGAGCTCCCGCGTCATCAATACGGACATGGCTGTTAGCGATTTCATGGGCGTGTCCAAGGCAATAATAAACAGTGTACTATTTTGCCATCAAGAGGACTCCAGCTGGCCACTGGATGAGCCCAAAAAGCTGAAGGAGAAGTTCGATGCGATCTTTGGCATAACGGAGTACAACAAAGCACTCGACAGGATCATCAAGTTGCGAAAGACAGCCGTGGAGGAGCTCAAAGTAATGAGTATGTAATTAGTTTCAGGGTAATAACTAAAGAGTAACAAGTGCTCATTTTGAATGTGATACCTTCAGATGCAAACTTGAAGCTCTTGGAGCACTTCAAGAAAGAAATGGACGAGAAGACGATGAGTCTGCAGAATGCGCAGCGTAAATGTGAGGAAATCAAGGAGGAGTGCATCAAATGTGATGAGGAAGTAAAGCCAATTGATGCAAGACTGAAGGAAATACGGAATATTGAATTCGAAATTGGGGAATATCAAGCAGAAAAAGTCAAAGTGGATACCAAGTAGGGGCACTTAATATCTTAACCTGTTATGATTTTATACTATATAAATCCTTTAATCTCGCCAGGCACCAAAGTTGTGTGGAGCAAATAGCCAAGCTAAATAGACAGATAAAGACGCCATTTGAGGGCTCTCTCGTGGAACTGGAAGCAGAGATACGAAGCTTCAGTCAGCGAATGTCGGAAATAAAATATCAACTTACTGATGTCGAGGATCAACTTCTGCAAAATCGTAAAACGAAGGAAGATCAGCAGAAAACACTGGCCAAGCAGGATAAGGAACGCTACGTGGCACAGCAGAAGCTGAAGAGCGAGCAGGAATGCAAGCTGGAGCTCTCGCGGCACATTCAGACTTTGAGCGCTCAACTGCAAATCAATGTGAAGCCATCAGTCGTGGATAATCCACAGGAATTAATTGATCTTCTGGATGACATCGATGGGAATCTTATGGCCAAGCAGTGTGAAATCACAGAACTGTCACAGAGCAATGATCAGGCGGATCAAGCGCGTCAGGAAAAAATCGATGAGCTGCGCAACGAGCTAACCAAATCGGAGCAGAGCATAAAAACACAGGAGAAGCAAAAGGCGGACACCGAGCGAGATATCGAATCACTGGAGATGAATATCAAACAAATCGAAACTTCGCAACAGCAGCTCAAAGTACTCGAGAAGCAAATCGCTGACACAAATGAAAAATACGAGCATTCCACGCGCAACTTCAATCAGGAGGCATGTCGTAAGGTTATAGCTAGCAAAAAGGAAAACAGAGACAAGAAACAGGCGCAGTTTAAGCAGCTCGACGATCAGCTCACATTCCTCAGCTCCATCGCCAATGTGAAGACTGAGATCGGACTCAAGGAGAAAGAGCTGGAGAAGAAGAACCATGAGATACAACGTGTGCGCAGCAAACACGGCGATAATTTGAACAAATTTTTCAAGGAATCAATATCAAGCAATTATCGTCGGGCCATGCAAAATGAATACGATAAGCTACGGCGTGAGATTGATGAATTGAACGTGGATGCCAATGGTAAAAATTTGGCAAAACAATCACATGAGATCAAGCGCAAGAACCTAATTGAAGAAATCGCGCGCATGGAGAAGGAAGTGCAGGACTCTGAGGAGCGCATTTATCAAAAGTGCCACGGCATGCCCTATGATGAGCTGCTGCTGCGCAGCAAGACAGCTATAGCCAAGCTACAGCTGGAGCATGGAGCACTCAAGTCTGCCGAGGCCATGTACAAGAAGTAAGATAAGCAATCTAACTGCACTTCGATAATCTAATCTCGATTCTAATCATGCAGGTATATACAGAAAATAGAGGAGGAGCCCAGCTGTCCGTTGTGTCACCACAATATGTCAGGGGATGAGGTAGGCTCATATTTATTGCTATCATTAGCTAGTCTAATTCTCTATTGACCCTTAAGGCCTGCGATTTGACTACCGAGTTGACGGATGAAATACAAAAGTTGCCGGACAACATAAGCCGCACCGAAAAATCCCTAAAGACAGAGCAATCGAAGTATGAGCAGCTACTGCAGATCAAGCCAACCATTGACAAAGTTAAGGAGCTGAAGGAGAAGCTGCCCAAGAAGAAGGAGGAGCTGCGCACCATCGAACAAAGTTTGGGTGATATAGTCAGCGAATATGAGACGCTAATGGCTCGACTAGGCGAGCCGACGCACAATATGGACTTGGCCAATTCGATGCTGGGCGATATGACGCTGCTAGATGAGGCGCTGAAGGAATCTGTGCGCGTTAAAAAGGATCTAGAACAGCTAAAAGTATTTTATAATAATAAAAAGCCGAATTTACTTATTTATGTTAATACATACAAATTCCAGCTTAAATTGCCAGAGAACTATGATGCCAGCGTCTCCATAGAAGATTTGCAAAAGCAAAAGGCTGAGGTGTCCAAAGAGTTAGAGGCTGAGTCCAAAGCGCTGGAGACCAGTCAGCAAGCATTCGAGAAGCAAGTGGAGGCACTAAGCCGCTTGCGTGAATTTCTAAATGGGTAGAATTTAGTTGCCTATATAAACATATTTATATTTATAAAATTTCTCTTATTTTAGCCTAAAGGACAAACGTATAAATCTCCAAGAGGGCGTGCAGAACCTACCCCAATTGAAGGAACGTTTGGACAAGCTAACACGCCTGGTCATTGCTATTGGCATGGAAGTAACAGAGCTCCGATCAAAGCTGCAGCCGATCAAGCAGAAACTAGGCGCAGCCTTAAGCGAAAAGGCGCGGTTGAAAGAAATGGAGCGTGTTAAGCTGGAGCAATTGCAGGCTAAATATATGGAATACAAAAGCATCGATAAGGATATACAAAGGCAAGCAGTTAAATACTTAGCTCATATAAATATTTATAAATGTTTTCTTTACAGATTGAATGAACAGGCGCAGGAGTTTGCCAAGCTGGATCTAGTGAATGCCATCAAAAAATACGATGCTTCCATCAACGCAACCAAAGAGGAGATCAGCAATTTGGTAGCTATAATTAATTTACCCACTGATATACAGAGTCTATAATCAACCACATTCCAGGATACACAAATCAACGAAAAAAACGAAGAGCTGGAAGCCATTAAGAAGAAATGCTTTGATCAACAGGCTCTGGAGCGCGATCTAAAGGACAATCGAGAGTTAAAGCAGCTGCAGCTGAAGGAAAGCGCATTAAGTGAAGATTGTAAGAGGCTAGCAAAGCAATTGGGAAATCTAGATTTCCGCAGCGTCACAAAGGAGAAGAACGAGCTGATAAGGAAACGTGATGTGGCCACCGTGCGACGTGGCGAGCTGCTCGGGCAGCAGGGCGAAATTAACAATCAAGTGAATAAGCTCCAGAAAGAGATGGCTGAGCCGAGGTATAAGGAGTCCATGAAGAACTATATGAGAGCCAAGTTCGAGGTGGCTGTGAAGCAGTGTGGCATCGAAGACCTGGGCCGACATCGCCAGGCCTTGGATTGGGCGCTGATTGAGTTTCACAAGGAGAAAATGAATAACATAAACAGCTTGATACGGGAGTATTGGCGCATGATCTATCGTGGCAACGATATTGATTATATACAGATTAAAACCGATGACAGTGCAACTGATACATCGGCCGATCGCCGCAAGAACTATAACTATTGTGTGGTCCAATCGAAGAATAACTCCGTGATTGATATGCGTGGCCGATGCAGTGCAGGACAACGTGTCCTGGGCTCACTCATCATTCGTATGGCCCTGGCGGAGACTTTTAGCAGCAACTGCGGTGTCCTGGCCTTGGATGAGCCCACCACAAATCTGGATCGTGATAATATAATGTCATTATGTGATGCACTCAATCGCATCGTCGAAAGTCGCCAGCATCAATCGAATTTCATGCTCATCATAATTACGCACGACGAGAATTTCATCTCGTCGCTGGGCAAAATAACAGATTACCATCGAGTGTATCGCAACTCTGAATGCAAATCGGTGATACAAAAAGTTCGAGTCGATGGGGGTCACTAAACTAGACCAGTATTCCAAACATATAAATATATACAAAAAAGATGCCATATTTCATATATACAGGAAATATTTCTTTCTTATATCTTAAAAATGTTACCATATTTACTATGTTATTGAGAGTGTACATTCCTTATTCGTGTTAAATTGTAAAACATAATCTATTAAATATTTTTATTAATCAACCATAACGATGACTGAAAGGAATTCAATTATAGAAATATTCATAGAATATTTTTATTTGGGTAGATCTTAAACCAAAGATTGTTATTTCTTTTGTACGTATATATATGTATGTTTGACTATGTTGTATATATGTATGTGCTCTCTTTAGTTCTGTTAGATAGATTAAAGAGATGTGAGCAGTCTCTGTAGATAATCATGATCAATCATTATTATATATCAATATATTTTCGGAATTCAATATAATTTGAGTCCTGAGCTTAGTATACACAGTTAGCAGCGCTTTGAAAATCTAAACACCTAGTAATCAATTTGTAAAATCTGAAGTTTTCCCATCCATGGCACAAGCCACATGGCTGGCAGCAGTTGTCGAGTGTGGACCGACGCAAGAGGCGTTGGCCAACATGCAGAAACAGCGCTATGTCAAGAGTCCCTAAATGACGACCAGCGCGAATTAGTGCAACTGATGCAATGTGAGAATGTGGTTGGGAAATATGTAGACCCAGATGAACCGGTGAACTGGCGGGGCGATCCAACCGATTCATGCACCAACCATGGAGGGGAAGCTTTTCAGATTTCAAGTACAAAGATTACAGCCCCCTGCTGCAGGGAATGCTGGCTACGCGGCGCAGCAGTGCAGGGAAAGCAGGTAGGCATTGAAGGCATATGGAAACTCCGCGAAGCGAACATTGCAATTAGTTGAACAAACTGTTCTCTAAGTCATACAGTTAAAGCTCTCCTAACGAGCTTTTTCCTGCTGAGATCAAACGTCGTTTCGCTTCCAGTTGTCTCCAGTTCTTAAGCTCAATATCGATTGCATAAATATACCTATCGATATTTTGTTCCGTTGATGTTTGATTTAACTCCCAATTTGCAGCTAACCTCGTTAAGAAGAGACAAACCCTCGCATAAGCAGGCCGTTCGCTTGGACTCGGAGACCTATGTGGGTCGTGTGTTCCCCATGAAGTTTCGTCTACGTCGAGCGGCATGCAGGTGTCGCAATTGTAATCGGGAACTGGCGCTACACGAAACAGTGACTGGCAATGAGGATATGCTATTGTTGTCCGATTGCTGCACCGTCAAGATAGAGTCACACAAGCAGATCGAGAATTGGAATCGTGTTCCTGTCGGCTTAATAACGGGAAAGCAAAAAATTTCCAAAAGGACTCTGACAGAAAGCTGTAAGGAAGATAAAAAATCCGTGACATTACCACGTCCAGCTGCCAAAGATCCTGTGAGGAAATCGAACAAAAGAAGAGCAACTAAATATGTAAAGAGCGATAAGTCCGGAGCACAGTCGAAAAAGTCAAAAATTTGAATTCAAATTGAAACGGCTTTAGAAACAGATTGCAATGCAATTTTGAATAGAGTTCTCAGTTAAGGCCTATAGATGAACGCCGATTATTGAAATTGCACAATTTTGATTTGCTTTTCATTTATATGTTTTAACTCAAAATTTCTATTTAAAAATGTCTCTAAAGTAGCTTCAATGCGAGAGCAAAGTATATATTTTTTTTTTTTTTACTAAACAAAATTATAAAAATACAAAGTGTAAATTTCAAATAATAAAAAAAAAATTAATTATTAATTGATTTGAGATATTAAATGGGTTTCGAGAACAGCGAAAAGTCTTCGTTAGTCGCGACTATCTAGACTCTAGTCTCTAGTCTATCATCTATGATACCCGGATTATTGTCTCTGCGTATGAATGGGTACTCAGACGGACAGCCAACCTCGTCGTCGTTATCAAGAATATATGTGTACTTTATAGGGTTTATTACGCCTTTTACCGCCTCTTTCATAACTATTTTTAAGGAATTTGAAGATTGACAGACTAATCCACAGTTCGGATTACAATCGAATCAGTAAACATTTATTTGCGTTCTTAGCTCAGAGTTCGCAATCTAAATAAAGAATTCGCTTGTCTTATCATTATAATTATATCATCAAGACACAGACAAAATCTGTACAAAAAAGTTAAGATCATGATCGCTTTTTATGGTACAATTATGATGTGCTGCTGTCTGGCAAGCACTTAAGGGTTATTTTTATTATACTGAGATATAAAGCTAAGTTATTTTAAGACTAAGTATAGATAGAGCAGTGTTGGCCATGAAGGAAAAGACTTCTTTTGCAGTTCCTTCTTTATTTGGCAGTAAGTGAGTGTATATGTAGGACTATAGAATCATACGAATAGAGTCTCATATAATGCTCTCTCTCTCTTTCTTTTCCTACTGCCTCTCTCTCTCTCTCTCCTCTTCAGCTCTACTTGGCATCACATAGTTTGGGCCCGTTGCCAATGCAGGCAGCATAAGCCATCAGATGTGGAATCGTGTGCTGCTGCATGACTCCCGTAAAGAGATGACTCTGCGGTCCAGATGCGAATATGCCGACATCGTCGCCGGAATGCACGCCCTGATCCTTGGTTATATAGCCAGGGAAGACAAAATCATTGGCTCCGATTTCCGACGTCATATCCTTGCGCTTGCCATTCTCATCGATATAGTTCTTGGGGCCGACAGCATAGTTGAGTGTGCTGTACCGAATGCCATTGACATCTGTGTCGTGTTGGTTTAGTCCGAGAATGGGTGTGCCTCGGCCAGGATAGCCAGCTATGCTCAGGGCATGTCCGTGATCCGATGTGACGACGATCAGGGTATCCTCAATGCTCGTCATATCGCGTGCCAACTGTATGGCCTTCTCGAATTCCAATGCCTCGTCCAGGGCATAGCCCGCCTTTGTGTAGTGATTGCCGTAGTCAATCAATCCACCTGATTAGAGGAGATGTTATCAAGTGAACTGGCAGGGAATGGAAAGCCATACGATCGAGTCTCACCTTCAATAAAGACGAAAAACCCGTTTTCATTTTGGCTCAACTTCTTGATGGCAACCTCCGTGAGCTCGGAGAGCGTGGGCTGATAGCTGGGATCGGCTTCCAAGTGGAACTTCATGAGGGAGGACTGGAAGAGTCCAATGACGCTGGAGACGGCCGAGACGTTCAAGCTCAGCAGCTGCTTGCGATTGCTAACGAGGACGCCGCCGTCGTGCCTCGCCTGCCAGCGGGAGAGTAGATTGACGCCATCCGAACGCTCACCTGGCTTGCCGTGCAAATCCTTAATGGTCTTTGGCAAAAACTTGCCCATGCCACCGCCAAACATTACTTCGAAATTCCGTCCAGGCACTTGGGTCACGAGCTGGGTGGCCATATCGACGCATTCTCTGGGATCCACGCCATAGCTTTCCACATCCGTATCGCATTCCCAATTGCGATTCGCTGTCTTGGCATAGGCGCCCGAGGGACTGGCATGGGTGAGCGTTGTGGTCGTTACAATGCCCGTGGATTTGCCAGCATTCTGGGCCCATTCGGCAATGGAGGTGAGTCGATTAGCTGGATCTTGGCTTTCCGTGCAGTTGTTAAAGTTCACCGCTGCGCTGACGCCAATCTCAATGATGTTTGTCTTCACGCCGCACAAATACGCCGTAGCTGTGCAGGCAGAGTCCGGCACTTGGGCATTGGAGCAATAGGTCTACATAGAAAGAGAAAGAGAGAGAGAGAGAGAATAAGAAAAATATTTATTATAGCAGTTTCTCTTCGTTAGCTCACCCGACTTAGACCGGTGTGTGGGAACCGTTCGAAGCTCAACGATGCCTCTTCGCCGGTTCCGCCCGCTCTCTGACCCTTTAATATGCGCGCCGCTGTTACGGTGGACAGCGACATGCCATCGCCCAAGAACAATATCAAATTTTTGGCTCGCTTGCCATTCGGCTGTGGCAGCTTCAATCTCTTCTCCAGCTCCTCATAGGCCAAATCATACCAGAACTTTGGATCTTTTTCCTCTGGCGGCGTATACTTCTCAGTGGCTATGCCTGTGTCAAAGCGTGATTGCACTAATCTCCTGCCAGTCAGCTCCTCCACATAATGAACTCCATCGTTTGAACCGAGGGCAACGCCCACCAGGACGAGCAGCACAAATGTAAGCTGTTGCTTTAGGCAAAGCATCTTAAGCATCTACCAGACGGGTTCAGCTCTTACCAACTGATACCATTTTCGGCACTCTGCCACGGTTTATATACATGAATTTAGAACTCGACGAATATAGATTTTTATGGCTTAGTGATAGCAAGGTCTTCGTTTTTCTTGTTATTCTCAAATGGATTTAGCTTTTTACTTATCTACAACTCAAGGCAAATCAGTGGCACACTTTTTTTTTTCTTTTTTATTATGATCAATCATTGTGATTATTAGTATAAATTGAGATATAGCTTATGAAGGTTCTTGACTGGGAGAAATTTTATATGTAGTTGCGAAATCAAGTTCATCGCTTTACTCTAATCTTAAGGAAATTGCTGAGCTCATTTGAGTAAATGCGAAATAAGCGTTGACTTAGCCATAACACGTGTTATATCAGAAAAGATAATTATTTCGGTCATGATTTTGGAACGTGTGTAAATTTATCTGTGAAATTATTCTGCCTCCTCATAATACAAACAAAATCCAAAACTCGAGTTCAAGGTAATAAAATCTCTGGAAAACTACTTTCGTAGAAAATGCTTGTAGATTACATACAGCAGGAATTTTTTGGATATAATTTTATAGACACAAAAGAGATAAATTTGAATATCTGATGATTGATCGTTTTTTTTCGCGCACTCAGCGAATACAATCGGTCTTTTCAGCGATTCTTCATCTGCATAGCTATCGATGTTTGCCGTCTGCGCAGTGCGCACCTATCGATACTTTGACTGTGCCGTCGATTCTTCTCGCAACAATCATTCGGCAGCCAAATCGTCCAACAACAACAGCGTGTCGCGTAATTATTTTTATTCCACCTCTTGCTAATAAAAAAAATATACAAAATTTAAAACAGCACTTATATATCTAAATATATATAAATATTTGTAAATAATTTGTTTCAATTTGTTTTTAAACAACAAAGTGCCGATAAACAACATAGACAACAACACACACCAAAGTGCAGCTGCCAAGGACACGAATTATATGAAAGTAGTGCAGCTAGGAGCATGCAACGGCATTAAAATATATACATACATATACAAAGTATTTAATAAGCAGGAAAAGTACAAAGTTTCTAAACTAAAGCAAAACTCAACTATTATAAACCGATTGAATTAGGAGTGGTATACAACTGAGTATACAACAGCAAAATAGCGAGAAAGTAATTTTTAAGCGAAGGAAGCAGAAAGAAGCATCGCAGCTGATTTTAGTTATCAAGAATGGCGGCCAATAACTTGCGACAGATTCCATTGACCTGCAGTGGACACACCAGGCCCGTGGTGCATTTGGATTTCAGTGATATCTGCGATAGTGGCTATTTTCTCATATCGGCTTGCAAAGGTACGTAAACAATGGAAAGTGAATCATAAGCTCCGACTTGACTATACCCTGTAAACAATTCAGAGTAATATTTTGCATATATTAGAAATATATAATATAATATAGAATTAGTCTTCATTACCTGCTTAGACGATAATAGTAGGAGATTAATCGATGATTGAAATGATCTTAACCGTGCGCTATTCCAGTTACAATTGTAATCTCTAGCCTGGAAGAGATTTTAGTAAGGCACTTGTTGCCTGCTTCTGCTTGTTGCCTAATTTAAGCTTAATAATCTTTGAGCATAGAGTATAAAACGCGTCCTAATATTATTTATATATTAGTTTACCTGTATGGAATTGTATGTGTCACATATATATTACATAGCTCAAGCTATGTCTAGCCTAACCGTAGCCTTGACCTAAATGAAAAAAAAAAAAATAAATGATCACGAAACCAGTTTAGCAAAACCCTTTGCCAAACGCTCGCCTGCTGCACATACATAAATACATATTTACGTCTGAATATATTTAACATACGTTCTTTACCTTGACAATGTCTACAAGTATACACTTATGTATATATGATATATGCATGTATGTATGTGTGTTTTTATTTGTGCTTTCAAAAATATTGTTGCGGAAAGCAAATTTCCCATTGCAAGTTCAAGTTAATTTTTATCGCCATTTAATGCAATGTTTCCCCCTTGTTTAGCAACTTTTCAAAAAACTTTATTTGTTGTCATACGCAGGAAGCACCTTGAAACTTCTATATTTATACATATATACATAAGCACATACATATACATACATATGTATATTCACTGCAGCTGCAATACGTTCCAAACAAAAACAAGTAAGAAATGCAATCGAATGTTCCCAACTGCGCGATACTTTGTACATAGTATTGTTAAAGTATTATCGTATTGACTGCCGAGCCACTGGGTGTTCCCTGCATAGAGGTGCCTTACACATCAGTTTCCTGCCTAATGATATTGTATATTGGGAACAGTTTCAAATGATGTTCTTCCACTTTGAATAAATGAGAACTGTTTTAGAGGCTTTGAAAATTTAGTTCTCTTTAAAAACTGCAAGCTTGCATACCCTGTTTTAATTTGCAGACAGGGCATGTAAACAAGGCGATAACAACTGAACTTGTAAAACGACAACTAAAATAAAATTGATTGAGCGCTTAGATTTGCGTCCCTGCACACATTCACAGCCCGCCTCAAGCTCTCTTTCTCTCTCTTCCTCTCCGTTTCTCTCTGTGTCTGTCTGTCGATCACGTTGCAATGGAAGTGACGTGAACTTGGTGCACGGCTGTCGACGTCGCAGCCGCTGCGTCAGGTCGTTGGCATTGAGCGCAGTCGTTGAGTCAAGGTAGCTTCCGCCGCTCACGCATACACACACACACACACTCACATGTATAGGCATTGCATTTAGTGATCGCAATTTAGAATCGATTTCGATTTCTCACATTTGCCATTTTCGCAGATGCCTCACTCACCCACACAGATATATGTACAAGTGCACATGTATTAACTTAGTGATTGCAATTAAAATTAGATTTTAATATCGATTTCTTGTTGCAGATGGCAGCCCAATGCTGCGTCACGGCGATACCGGCGACTGGGTGGGTACCTTCGAGGGACACAAGGGCGCCGTCTGGGGAGTGGCACTCAATCGCAATGCAACGCTGGCCGCATCCGGCGCCGCCGATTTCACTGGCAAGGTTTGGAATGCAGTCAGCGGTGCCGAAATACAGAGTTTCCAGCACAAGCATATCGTGAAGAGCGTCGCGTTCGACAACAGCTCTGAGAACATTGTCACCGGCAGTAATGAAAAGCTGGTGCGTGTCTTCAATCTGGAGCAACCGGAGGCGGAGCCCGAGCTTTATGTGGGCCATACAGGTGCGATAAAGCGGGCGCTCTTCTGCCGGGACGACAAGTGCATCATCTCAGCGGCCGACGATAAGACGGTGCGGCTCTGGGATCGCATGACCGGCATTGAGGTGCAGCGTCTGCAATTCCCCAACAATCCCAACAGCCTGGAGATCTCGCATGACAATCATGTGCTGACCATCACTCATGGCTCGACGATCAGCTTCTGGGAAATCGATACGCTAAAGAAGCTAAAGGAGGTGAAAGTGCCGACGAATGTCGCGTCGGCCAGTTTACATCCGGATAAGCATGTCTTTGTCTGCGGCGGCGAGGACTTTAAAATGTATAAATTCGATTATATAACAGGCAATGAAATTGGTAAGGCTTTGAAAATAATCGTATGATCATAGCTAAAGTCTTTCCATTTTTCTATCATAACAGAATCCTTCAAGGGCCATTTCGGACCAGTGCATTCAGTGAAATTCAGCCCTGATGGCGAACTCTATGCAAGTGGCTCTGAGGATGGCACGCTGCGTCTATGGCAGACCACAGTGGGCAAGACGTATGGCCTATGGAAGTGCACCGAGCCGAGTGAGCTGAACAACTCGCTCAGCTCACCACGCGAGGTGCAAGCAAACTGATGTTGGAGAAGTACAAGTCGCTGCTATACAGTGCAAAAACAGCCAGCGCATGGAAAATAATTAAAAAGAGCATCAATTTTTCATATAACAAACATATTTCGAATCACAAATAATTTGTAATTATATATTTCTTTTTCAAATGAAATGTTATCGATAACGATAAACAAGATTCCAGCGCTCTTCACTCATTGACATTCAATCACACACACAGTCACACTCCCTCATATGCATCGATGAATATGTATGCATGAATTGGTGTGTGTGTGGTACAATAGAAATAAATATTGAATCGGTTTCCTTTTGCTAATTCAAAGGTGTGTGCCTGTCGCCCAGTTGTGCAGGTAAATGGTTGTAAAATTGAGCAGAGTCTCGCCTTGATGTATGTCGGGTCGCTGCTGCAAGTGATCATACCATCTAGACAAATTCAAATAGTTTTCCTTATCCACCGGCGACAGGGATTTCTGTAAGCAACATAAAAGGCTATAGAGTCTTACGTTTGTAATATTTTTTAAGCACGCACAATAAGATCACCGATAGCATAAAACACTGCGAGATCGCCGAGTGTTAAGAAGTGTCCCACCAAATAGGATTTCCTGCTAAACAGATTGTTCAAGTCCGCTAGCAATTGCTTGGATACATGCTTATCTTTTGAGCCGGGTCCAACATAAAGAACTGCAAATTCAATCCATTGATAGACCTGTGCCTGCACTTCCGGGGATGCAATACTATTTTGTGCTATTTCTGATTTGGATTCAACCGCCAAGCTTTCTAGTATGGTGGCAAAGCCCGTCACCCTATTGTTTTGGGCGCCAATGCGTGTTACGACCTTGACAATAAGAATTAGATTAATGTCACCCACATATGAATGTATAGGAAGCCCACTGTACCAGACACGTTGTGCTTTCAGATCCATTACCTGTTCGTCATTTAGCTGTATTTCACCGGGTGCAACGCCCAAGCAGTTAGCAATTTTCTGCACCGTTGCAACGTCACACATATTTATTAATGGAAATAGTATCGTATACAATATAAAGTGGCTCAAGAAAAATGCGAATCTGCAAAAATGTTGAGATGCACAGCGCAGGTGTTTGCCAGGGCTGGATCAAAAACGCTATTAAAAGAGGTAAAGCATATCGATAAGCGTGAATTGACTGATTTTATGCTAAAATTAAAGCAATTACAGAGAAATATGAATAAATTGTTTAATATTTAATAGACATTGTATTTTTATGTATAAAAGTAAGCAAATTGAAATCAAGTTTATTAACCAGGGCAACACTAGCCAAACAATCAACAGAGTATCGATAAGTTTGGCGCGCAATGCTCTATATTTTTTTACGGCTTTCTTCGTTAGCATGAGCCAGTGCTTGAAAGGTCACATCATATTGGAGTAGAAATATGAATAAACTGGTGGTGATCATCAGCAGCTGGAATATATAAAATTATAGAAAGTAACATGGACTGAAATGTGTGTAAAAATACCGCTGGTATAAGTTTGTAGTCCAATTCGAAAAGATCGCAGGCCACATGAGCTCGTACATTGTCCTGCAACTGCAATACAAAGTGATCTATGGTTTCAATCAAATCTCCGCTAATGCCATGAACAGTGCTCAATAACGTTAGGCAGTTGGTTTGCTAGGAAATGAACAGTTAACCATTTATATGCTTTAATTTTACAGCACCTTACCTCCCGCTGCACGTTGTTATTAAAATAAAGAATATAAAACATTTTGGATGTATGCATAATCAGAAATAAATTATTATAGCACCACCAGTTCCAGCGTGCATTACTAGAATTCTCAATCGCTTTATAGAAGAGGAACAAGTTCGTATTGAAATTAATCAAGGAGCTGGCGTAGAGCAGCAAAATCGAGAGGCCATAAGTCTGATTGAGAGCTTTATAGAAGTGAAGAAGATTTCGGTGTTGCCAGCGCAATTCCTGTAGTGCACCCCGTCGCATGGACACTCCACGCTGAAGCTCCGCGTGCAAAGCTTTAACTAAGCGCTTCAGCCGACGGCAGATGCCCTCCATCAAGGTGTAGTAGAGCACAAAAGAGAAGCCCGTCATGGTGTTGGGCACGATGTAGGTGTGCCAACTGCAGATCGATTTCCAAACGGTTACACCACTATTAAAAAACACAATGGGTATGGCGCAGCTAACGAAGATGAACAACAGGAAGAGTTGAAAGTGCACGAAGCGACGGATCTTCTTGCGCTTCACAATGTATCCACTAGTCAAGTCAAATTTGCCAATCGTCTCGAACACCTGGCCAATGAGTTGCTTCCAGCTCAGGCTAACGATCACAACGCAGGGTATGTGCATGAGGTAGGTAATTGCCTCAAATATATAAAAGTTTCTCTCCAAATTATTCAGCTCACTACTTGAATCATTCAGCTCCATGTAGGCAAGGAAGCAGAGCCAAATGTAGAACAGAAATAACCAGCAATACTGCATGAACTCGTGAAAGCGACTCGAACAGCGGGGAAAGACGGAAAATGGTGCACTTCCGGATACCACGCATATGATCAAAAGGAATCGGAGCTCCTGGTGCAGCTGCTCTGCATTTGATTTGTACAGCTGCTGTGTGAGATTCAAGTTGCTTCAAGCAGAAGGAACTGGCAATGAATTATAGACTGATGTATTCTAGAAAAGCATACCTTGGGTGCTTTTCGGCTAGTCCCGACTGGAGTTGCGTCCAGGCAGCTATGCGACGTTCCTTACGCTTGAGCTTCAGCATTTCGTTTGACAGTTTGAAGGCTCTTCGCTCTTTTCAATTAGCTTTCATTAAACACATCCTGACGGGCTGCGAAAGGACACATTAATCAAAGTGCACTTAATGATTTTCCGTTTTTAATTGAATTAATTATTTCAATGTATCATTTAGTTGTTCTCTTGACTCAAGCATGAGCACTTGGCTCTATTTGTTGTTCCTTTGTGCCCGCTTGCTGGGCGTCTCACCACCCAACGAGCAGCAGGTCAAGTATCCGCATCTAGTTTGGTCCTTGCTGCTCGTCATCTGTGTCTGGTTCTTCACGCTGCATCGCCTGGTCACCATGAGGTTCTACAAGGAAGTCCAGACCATACAGAAGCTCTTCTATTTTGCCGAGTATCCGGCGAACATGTTGCTCACGGCGCTCTTCTCGTTGCGTATTTATCGCAGCGAAGATTTCTATAAACGTCTCTTGCTGGAACTGGAGCGCCTCAAGGCGCAGCTCTTTGTGAACGGAGATGCAATTCCTCACCTCTACAGAGGACTACGAAAACAGATCATGATACTGTTCTGCCTTATGCTTGTCTTTCATTCGATTTGCGCGCTGGTGGACAGCGCCTGGCTCAATTTCGATCTAAAGCTCAGCTTCGCCAGCAACTGTGCCCATCAGCTGCCCTGCGCCATGATCAACTTCAGCCTGCTGCAATATATACTGATTCATCGTTTGCTTTGCCTGTTCTATGCGGAGCTCAACCGACATTTGGAGGAGCTGCAGCGGCGTCCAGCTGCCATTGAACTGAAGTTGGAGGAACTGCGTCTCATTGGCGTCGCCCTGGATGATATTCAGGCCAAGCTATTGGACAGATTTGAGTTTGCTTTGATCGTGAACTTTGCCAATTCGTTGCTGAGCTTCTCCTACGAGACCTTCAATACCTTTCGCCTGCTGGAGCTGGCCCAGCTGAGCGACTGGGTGCTCTATTGCTATCGCTCGCTGTGGCTGCTGCAGCACGGCTCTCGCGTTTGGCTCGTGCTGCGCGCTAATGAGCGTATTATAGAGCAGGTGAGAGGGAGCTGTTCCTGTTAGCAATTAACCCATTAACTGATATGATTTATGCTCTTTCAGAAATGCCAGCTACGTTTGGTCCTCAACAAGCTGGACGCGAGCGACGCACGCTTGGAGCGTTCGATTAACAGCTTTTTGCTGCAGCTGAAGTCCAGTCACAATCAACCCCTGGCGCTCTGCATTGAGCTGGACACCCTGGCTTTGGGTGGGGTAAGTGCTGGCTGCCATTATCAATCAAAAACATCATAAAAATCAATTTGATTTACTTTTGTTCCCGCTGGCAGTTTGTCAACGCTTTGCTGGCTATTGTTATATTCCTGGTTCAAATCGATTTGGGCAATAAATCGCTAAAGGGTTTTGTCTAAATGATGGTTACTCAATAAAGTACATAGCGCTTGGCCTTTGCTGTTTCATTTCTTGTCGAAATGCGTTCCCGTTTGCACCAGCAGCTAGGACGCTGCGCCGCCTGCACCAAGAACTGGCTGTTGACCTTTGGCTGGCTTCTGCTTTGGCTAATTCGCGCTGTGAGCTCTCGCCTACGCGATGTGGCCGCACAGGCGGGCGCCGAGACTAGTTTGTTGGCCATACGATTGACTGTGAATCGTAGACTGCATATAACTGAACGGTTCGTTATCCTGATATTCTGACATCTATATATTCACAAATCATATCTGAGATTCTTGCCAGGCTGCTCTGGCTGTTTGTTCTGGTGGGCAGCGTCTTTGCCGTCTACATGCTCAGCGAGCTGCAGATCGCTAGATACGTTAATTCACCCACGGTCATCTCGGTGGATCGTGATTATCGTGGCTGGAATGGTTCGCTGCCTGCTGTCACCTTATGCTACTACGATCACATCGATTCCTTTAAGGCCAATGAGCTGATACAGGACATGTGGAATGTGTCCATCATTGATGAGGATTACTTTTACATCATGGACTTCTTGTATGCCGTTGTTAACGCCACGGCCAGCAACTATGCTGAGCTCGCGAAATTCGCCAGTGATGAGCGCTTCGATCAAGTGGATCTCTATGAGATTATACAGACCATAAATCGTCCTTTTGAGCAGGTCATCAGCAGCTTTGATGCGGACTTTGAAGTGAATGTGGAGATGGTGATGACGGAGCGTGGCTGCTGCTATGCCATCAATTCGCCCATGTCCAGAATGCTGGGCAAGAAGTGAGTAAGATAGTTGTGTCTATATGCAAACTGTAAACTTTTACAATCCTTACAGAGAAGTGGATTATGACCAATTACCGCAACCCCTGACCTGCCAATTTGGCAAGCAGCAATGCTTTATTCGCATGGATCTGTACGAGAGCACGGGAGTGGTTAGCCAATATCCATATCTAGTCGATGTGACTAATTAACTTGAAATTCTCCTGCAGCTGGACGTTCATTCACCCTATGAAGTATCCGCCTCGGAGGCAAATATTATTTCACTACAGAAATCCGATGAAATTACTGCCTCGTTTAAGGTGTTGGAGACGGTGTAAGAGATACCTAATCTATATAATATACAGCAACATAAATATATCTCTCACGTTATATATTATTCCTGAATACCAAACAGCGCTTCCAATAATCTCCGTGAACTAAGCGTAGAACAGCGTAAATGCGTCTTCAATGATGAGGAAACCTCCAATCTTAAGGCATGTCATAACATCAATCTGGTTATCATGCCTTCGCCAATTTTGTGTTTCCTTTAGGTTTACAGCAAGTCCTTGTGCTTGGCGCGCTGTCGTGCCATCATGGCATTGGAAATGTGCAATTGTGTGCCCTTCTTCTATCCCTTTGTCCAGGGACCATCTTGTAATCCAGCTGGATTTGAATGTCTTTTGGATTTTAAGTGGCCCATTTGGGCGTTGCACATTTGTAAATGTCCCTCGACTTGCACTGAAATTGAATATACCATGCAGACGGTCAAGAAAAGCTCGTGGGGCATGAAGGGCAATGAGGAGACAGCGGGCATCGACATGGCTACATCTAGCTTTCGCTGGGATCTAATACCACCCAAAGTACGCTTTCGACGCGATGTCGTCTTTAGCTTTGAGGATCTTATTGGTAAGCAATATGATTTTTGTACTAGCTATGTTTTTAAATCAAAATAAGTCTTCCTACAGTGTCCTTTGGTGGCGCTCTGGCCTTGTTTGTGGGCATCAGTGTCATGGGTCTGGTGCAAATGGGCTATGTCATAATCTTCAATATTTTGCTGGACATCATTAAGCTTCTACGCTTTATTCACACATTATATTTACGAGCCCGCTACCGACGTCGAGCTACTAAGCCCGAAAGTCCCGTTTACAGCAAGGACAATATTTCTAGAGCCGAAACAGCAGAGATACCTTTGTTTGAATATGTTAACTAATAGATGTTTGTCGGCAGTTAATTGCTTTGTGTGTTGTATCATGATGCTTTATTAAAAAATAAAAATACCTCCATTTATTTAAATTGTAAACTAGAATTTTTTCTTATATATCGACTTTTTTAAAATATACTTTTCAATTTCGATAGTTTCATCAAGGCTTTCGATAATTTCATTGCACAGCGACAAATATATTTGCACGGTGTACCATCACAATGTACACGCGATCGATACTTATTTATTTAATTAAGCCAGCCCTGGTTAAAAACACACGTGCGGCTAACAATATTTCTGTGTCGCACAATTTGCATTAAACGCGAATCGAAATAGTAGGGTATCATATATATCTGGACAAAATGAGTGACGATGAGTCTAGTGATGGTTTGGAGGACTTAAAAGAGTTAATGGCCACATATGCCCAGCACGAAGATAAAGCGCAGAACAGTCGTTCGTCCAAAACAAAGAGAGACAGAGAGGAGGCGACCTATGTAGAGGTGCCCTCGGAAAAATTGATATTTGGCGATAAGCAAGCGTTTCTAACAAACTTGGCGAAATCAGTGGGCAAGAAACGCATAAAACTTGATAGTGTTAGCAAATTATCAGCAGATGAGGATAAGGAGGAAGCAGCAGAGGCTGCAAAGAAACCGAAGCCAGCATGGATAGACTCTGATGACGAGGATATTGCGGTGGGCGAGGTGAAGCGACCCACTCGACACACTGGTCCCCTGACGCACTTGCGCATGGACAAATCCTACAAAGAATATCTGACAGCGCGCTTTCAACGCGTCATCAGTCAACCAAAATGGGCATCTCTTGAGCAAAGGCAGAAGAATAGCGATAATTCCGACTCAGAGGAGGATGAGCCGCTGCTTAAAACCGTGGGTTTCATCAAGCGCCGCGGCAAGTCAAAGGAGCTGCCGGCAAAAACTTTGCAATTTAAACGGATGCGGGATTTGAATCGTGCCACCTACAGCGAAGGCGTTATCAGGAGCATCCAATTCCATCCGACCAGCACTGCTGCCTTGGTCTCCGGAGAGAACGGTATGGCCAATCTGTATTCCGTGGATGGCCAGAAGAACGAGAAGCTGCACAGCATCCACTTCAAAAGATTTCCGCTCACCTGTGCCCGCATGGCGCCATGCGGCACAAAGGCGTTCTTTAGCTCCCTGAAGCCCTTCTACTATGCCTATGATCTGCTGGAGGGTAAAGAGTCTAAGTTGACGCTGCCTGCCGTGTTGAATCACTTGAGTCACTTTGAGTTGTCGCCGTGTGGGAAATACATTGCCGCAGTTGGTAAATTCGGTGCCATCCACTTGCTGACCACCAACACGAACGAGCTGATCCACAGCTTTAAGCAGGAAGGTCTGGTGCGTGGCATGTGCTTCACGGCGGACTCACAGCGCCTTATCTGTAGCAGTTCCGGCTGCAATGTGAATGTATTGTCCCTGCGGAAGAATTGCATTGAGCACAGTTTCATTGATGATGGCTGCGTTAGTGGCAGATCGTTACAGCTGTCGCCCAGTCAACGTCTCCTGGCAACGGGCAGCAACGAGGGCGTAGTCAATGTCTATGACTACGAGAACATCTACAAGTCGACGACGCCGCAGCCCGAGAAATGCTTCATGAATCTGCGCACGGCCGTTACGGATCTTCAGTTCAACCACACGTCCCAGCTGTTGGCCATGTGCTCAGCACAGGTGCAAAACGCCGTAAAGCTAGCGCATTTCCCCAGTGCTACACTCTATGGCAACTTCCCGGCTCAACGTGAGCTCTTGGGTTGCATTAAAACGATGGCCTTTTCGCCAAATAGCGGCTACTTGGCTCTAGCCAGCAGAGGCAAAAAGGCGCCCTTATTTAGGCTTAAGTCTTTCAAGAACTATTGAGTGGATGGGATACATCTGGACATATATGGAATGAATATATATGTGTAATAAAATGATGATAATTGATAATGTTCCATTCTTTAATTTAAACAAATGACAACTGATAAAAATTTGCTCTTAATTTTCAAGAACGATGTCTATAAATCTTAAGAGCTTTTAGATCAACAGTTTCTTCAACCTCTCTTGTACCATATCAAACATAATTTAATATTAATTTTTGCATTTATTTAAAAATTGCATATATTTCAATAGGGAGCCCTGAAGATGTCTCGCTTTTGCGTCTCATGGATTTTTCCGATATCATCCAGTTTCTTGCATATGTGCGACGATTGTGTCTCGATCCATTGGAGTGAATTCATGTGTGCGTTCAATATTTTCCCAATCTGTATAATGGGATCTGTGTGATCCTGTCCCTTGTTCGCCTCGTTGAGATTGTCAATCACCTCTTTCAGGTCCTCGGACATTTGCTTCAACTGCGTATCCAGATTCTCGACCATCAGATAGGTTTGACTGCGCTCCTGATCGACGCGTGGCAAACTGGTGAATTCCTTCTCTAACGGACCCAGACTCTCTTCCAGCTCTTTGTGTTGCGTGGCTATAAACTCTAACTCCTGGTCGAGCACCTGCTGGTCGTTCTTCACCTTTTGCACTGCATCGTTGAGCTCAATGATCTTCTGGTTGTTGCCAATGAGCAACTTGTCCCAGGCATTTATTTGCGTGGCCTGCTCTGTGAAGACTTTCTCCTGCTCCTCGAACTCCAAAGTCCATTTGTTAATGTGCTCCTCTAGCTGATGGTACGTCAACTGCGTGGCATTCGCAACGGTGGCTGAGTCAGTGGTTTTTGTTGCAGTGGAGAGGTTGGCAAAGGTGCTGCCAGTTGCTGCGGTTGGCGCAGCAGTAGCAGTTGTAGCCGCAGCTCCAAGTGTTGCTGTACTACCTAGTTGAGCAACAGAAGTAGCTGTGGGTGCTACAGCCGATGTAGTTTTCGGTGCAGTTCCTAGACCCAGGGTTAGGCTACCACCACCAAGTAGGTTTGCTGTGGTTGTGGTCGCTGCAGCTGCTGTTGTGGTTGCTGTGGATGCTGCAGCTGCTGGTTGGGCAAGGAATCCAAAAGTTGGAGCCGCTGTAGTAGCGGGTGCAGCTGTGGCCGCCCCAGCTGTGGGAGCAGGAGCAGCAGCAGCGACGCCGAGTCCGGCACCCAAGCCCGTCAGTGGATTTGATGCAGTTGGAGCAGCTTGGGTGCCCGTCAAGCCAAAGCCGCCAAATTGTAGAGGCGCTGCCGCCGTCTTGCCACTATCAGCATCGCCACCGCCAACACTTGAAGCCGCTGCTGGTGCAGCAAAGCCAAATGTGGGTTTGGCGGGAACTGCGGCGCCGGTAGTTGCTGGCGTTGAAGTGCTAAGCCCAAACGAGAAGCTTGGAGCGCTGGCTGTTGTTGTTGTTGCAGGCAGTTGGAATGCCATTATACGTTATGACCAATATACAAAGAAATAGTATAAAAATTAATTTAATTTTACACACGATGCATACGTAAACCGCAGCGATATTTCACAACTTATCGATAACGGTGTGGCTATAAAACGCATCGCAGACGTTTTGGTATTTTTTAATAGCAACTTCAGCTGGAATCTCAAGCAGTGCTCAAGCGTAAACTAAACAGCCCGCGCAAATCGTGTTACATTAAGCTGAATTTAAAAAGATCATATATAACAATGTCAAAAATATTTAAAAAGCTAATTTTTCTTTTATTTTTTTTAATTAACAGCCCCTGAGAGTCCGTTGGAAGTCGGCAGACATGATGATTTAAACAGTTATTTGTCTATGCATATGTATGTGGCGAATGCTAAAGAGCATTGTACGACAAAATTAAGTAATTTACTTGGATTTCATGAAATGTTTTAGGTGTGGTAATTGAATTTGTATTCACTGTACCATATTTGTATTATTTATTCTGTTTTTAGGTATAGCAAATTGTGTACTGGAATGTTCTTCAATTATAGTTAACAATTATCGGTTGTCTACCAAGCTGATTTATTTGCTCACGCAGTTATCTAAGGATGGATACCTATATAAAACCGTTGTGGGCTTGGAACGATGTCATCTAAGTATGTTTGCCATGAGGAACGTACCATTTCTGCTGCTGGTGTTAACGCAGTTGCTTCGCGCTGGCTCCGCACTGGATAATGGACTGGCTTTAACGTAAGTCGCATTTGATTTGTTTGGACGCATATTTATCCAAATCCATTGTAGGCCACCCATGGGTTGGATGTCTTGGCAGCGCTTTCGTTGCATTACCGATTGTGATACGTTTCCAGATGAGTGCATAAGGTAAACTATTAATCAATCAATTACTCAAATCCAAAACAAGTTTTCCTCATTTCCTTAAAGCGAGAAATTGTTCAGACGCAGTGCGGATCTACTTGTCTCGGAAGGCTATGCTGATGTGGGCTATGAATACGTTATCATAGACGATTGCTGGCTGGAGTGGAATCGTGATAACAAGACAAACAAGCTGGTACCAGATCGCAAACGTTTTCCCAGAGGCCTCAACGTTCTGGCTGATCATGTATGCTAAAGCAATCCAACTGTAGCGTTGTCTAACCAGTCTCACAATAATTGTAGATTCACGCCAAAGGTCTCAAATTTGGACTGTATCAGGACTTTGGCACGAAGACCTGTGCTGGCTATCCAGGTGTGATCGACCACATGGCACTCGATGCCGAAACCTTTGCTAATTGGGATGTGGACTATGTGAAGCTGGATGGATGCTATGCCAATGTTAGCGACATGGCAACGGGCTATCCGGAATTCGGACGACTGCTGAATGAAACGGGCAGACCCATGGTCTATTCGTGCAGCTGGTAACACTAATTTTGATTGCTATATGTGCATTTCCCCAGAAAAGACTCCTTTTTGTAGCGTTGGAACTGTTTGGCTTTTTGTTTTCCAAAATAACCTATTTTATTTAGCACCTTAATCGGAGCGTTTTTAAGACAGTAACTAACAACCAAGGGGTTCGCAAGCTACTAGAGATAAACTTTTCTGGATAAATAGCCATAGATATTTTGGATAATAATCAAGTTAAAGTGCAGGCCTGCTTATCAATCGGGAAGTGAACAGCCTCTTTTTGAGGCACTGAAGCGCCATTGCAATTTGTGGCGAAACTGGGCTGATATCCAGGATTCATTCCAGTCTGTTATGACCATAGCTGATTACTTTGCCAATAATCAGGATAGCATGCAGCCACACGCCGGACCAGGGCATTGGAACGATCCGGATATGTTGATTTTAGGCAACTATGGCCTCAGCTACGATCAGAGCAAACTGCAAATGGCCATTTGGGCAGTGCTGGCGGCGCCGTTAATAATGTCCAATGACTTGGCCAAGGTGCGACCAGAAATTAAGGAGATATTACAGAATCGGTTAGTCGACTTATTAGCACATGAACCATTATAATATAACGATATATATATTATTATGTAGTGATGTGATTGCTGTCAATCAGGATCCTTTGGGCATACAGGGTAAACGATTGCTTATGAAACAAAATATTGAGGTAACTATGATTTAGTTATTTATATGATTGTGATTATTGAAGTGAGTACTTTAATTCTCTTCTGCAGGTCTGGCGTCGACCAATCGAACCTAAAATCAATGGAGAATACTCTTATGCTGTGGCATTTGTTAGTCGCCGGGTGGACGGAT